CAACATCATCAACATCATCAACATCCCAATTGACTGTAAAGTTTAACGGGGGTGGGAGTTTACTATTCCCTAATACCCTTGTTGATCTTCCCAATTGAATGCAAAGTTTAACGGGGATGGGAGTTTAATATTCCCTAATACCCTTGTTAATCTTCCCAATTGAATGTAAAGTTTAACGGGGGTGGGAGTTTAATATACCCTAATACATTTGTTGATCTTCCCAATTGAATGCAAAGTTTAACGGGGGTGGGAGTTTAATATTCCCTAATACGCTCGTTGATCTTCCCAATTCAATGTAAAGTTTAACCGGGGTGGGAGTTTAATATTCCCTAATACGCTCGTTGATCTTCCCAATTCAATGTAAAGTTTAACCGGGGTGGGAGTTTAATATTCCCTAATACCCTTGTTAGTGGGAGAACCTCCACAGAGTCAACCCCTAACTTGGTTGACCCTCTGGAGGCCCCTCCACCGGGTCCACGTAGTCGGAGTTCGGAACGTAATTGTACAGAACAAAAAACGATACTTTATGTATACTTAGTAGAAATCACAAGGTCAACAACTAACCAAAAACATTAGTTTCTGTGGACCCGGTTGGACTTTATGTAAACTTGCTAGAAATCACAAAGTCAACAACTAACCAAAAACAATAGTTTCTGTGGACACGGTGGGAGAGCCTCCACAGAGTCAACCCCTCACTTGGTTGACCCTCTGGAGGCCCCTCCACCGGGCCCACCTATTCGGAGTTCGGAACGTAATTGCACAGAACAAAAAACGATATTTTATGTATACTTAGTAGAAATCACAAGGTCAACAACTAACCAAAAACATTAGTTTCTGTGGACCCGGTTGGACTTTATGTAAACTTGCTAGAAATCACAAAGTCAACAACTAACCAAAAACAATAGTTTCTGTGGACCCGGTGGGAGAGCCTCCACAGAGTCAACCCCTCACTTGGTTGACCCTTTGGAGGCCCCTCCACCGGGTCCACGTATTCGGAGTTCGGAACGTCAGTGTACAGAACAAAAAACGATACTTTATGTAGACGTGGCGGAAGCGCCTCCACAGCGTCAACAACTAGCTCAGTCGACTCCCTGGAGGCCCGTCCAACGAGTCCGCGTGCTGACAACACGGTATACCTACAAGAATAACGATTCACCAACAACAAGCACACAAACATTCCAGCTGCTTGGGTGAGCTTTTCAAACTCCAAAAGTTTCTTTCCAACCGATTCTTGTCCAAAATGCCTACCTTATACATCTAACGTTAGAAATCGGCAAACTCTTCAACGCAATTTCCACGAAGTCATGAATCCGCTTGTTGATCTTCGCAATTGAATGTAAAGTTTAACCGGGGTGGGAGTTTAATATTCCCTAATACCCTTGTTGATCTTCCCAATTGAATGCAAAGTTTAACGGGGGTGGGAGTTTAATATTCCCTAATACCCTTGTTGATCTTCCCAATTCAATGTAAAGTTTAACAGGGGTGGGAGTTTAATATTCCCTAATACCCTTGTTGATCTTCCCAATTGAATGTAAAGTGTAACGGGCCTGGGCGTAGTAGTAGTAGTAGTAGTAGTAGTAGTAGTAGTAGCAGTAGGAGTAGTAGTAGTGGTAGTGGTAGTGGTAGTGGTAGTGGTAGTGGTAGTGGTAGTGGTAGTGGTAGTGGTAGTGTTAGTGGTAGTGGTAGTGGTAGTGGTAGTGGTAGTGGTAGTGGTAGTGGTAGTAGTAGTAGCAGTCGTAGTAGTAGAAGGAATAGTAATAGTAATAGTAGTAGTAGTAGTAGTAGCAGTAGTAGTAGTAGTCGTCGTCGTAATAGTAGTAGCCGTAGTAGTAGTAGTAGTAGTCGTCGTCGTCGTCGTCGTCATAGTAGTAGTAGTCGTAGTAGTAGAAGTAGTCGTCGTCGTAGTAGTAGTAGTAGTTGTCGTCGTCGTAGTAGTAGTCCTCATAGTAGTAGTAGTACACCTCATAGTAGTAGTAGTAGTAGTAGTCCTCATAGTAGTAGTAGTAGTAGTAGTAGTAGTAGTAGTAGTAATAGTAGTAGTAGTAGTAGTAATAGTAGTAGTAGTAGTAGTAGTAGTAGTAGTACTAGTACTAGTACTAGTACTAGTACTAGTACTAGTACTAGTACTAGTACACTAGTACTAGTACTAGTACTAGTAGTCGTCATAGTAGTAGTAGTCGTAGTAGTAGTAGTAGTCGTCGTCGTCGTCGGCGTGCTTGCGTTACAAACAGTCGCACCTTCTCTTGCCTCTCCCTCCTGTCTTTTCCGCCCTACCTTTCGTCCCCCCCCTCTCAAGTGTTTGGAAGTGCTCTTCTTGTGAAACCTATTGCGCGCCGCATTTCTCCCAGCCTGCAAACATGATCAAACAGAATCAAACATGCATGTTTAATTTACAGAACGGCATGCCCTGAGAGAGTGCAGTTTTTGGGTGACAAAATGACATGTTTTATGCACACCCCTATATAACTGCATTATACCACACTCCGGCCACTCCTTAAAGAAATACATTTTTTTCTTCAGACCCTGCATGTTGGCAAAACTGCAACCCTCAGAAAGGAATGTTACATGATTGCATTAAATGCTGCATTGTTATGACTGAAAGGCAGCATATTTAAAACATTTTCAGAATTTTGACAATTTAAAAGGAAATTCGCACTTCTTGAGAAGAAACCTTACATCTTGCCTGAGAACTATCAAAAACTGAGTTGCACAACAAGAATGCGAGATGAAGATGAATGTTAGCCTACGGTCATGTTCCCTTGCACTTATTTAGTATTGATGAAATCATTGCAAAAATGCACTCGACAGCCTGCCGCTGTCTTAATTTACATGCCTACAGAGCTCTACATGCATAAATATTGACCTATGCATGGGCTGAGGGCGCGCACAAATAAGAAACACACGCGGTGACATACAAACACAACCCATTTTTTACGGGGTGGCTTCACCTAAGATGCACCAAGTTTAAACTTCGCCTTGGAGGCTTGGCTAGTCTGCATGTTCGCAAAACTGGTTCGTTTGTGCCTGTCACCTGAGAGGTGCGGTCGGGTGCGGTCGGGTGCGGTCGGGTGCGGTCGGGTGCCGTTGTCTTTTTATCATGCAGTTTGATGCAGCAAAGTTCCATGTAGAAAGCTTTGAGAGATTAACCGAGAGTTGCATGCTCAGTTCAGTGCTGCTTGGGGATTGGAGGCACTCTGCCCTGGAGAAATCTGTCAGTGGAGTTCTTATTGTTGAAAACTCAGCTCAAGTATTTTGATGAACAGCCGATAGCTTTTATTTTTGTGTGCAGCTATGAAATTGCCTGCTTGCCTGTTTAGGGAAGATGTCCGGCATGTCACGCCCGATAGCACTGTAGATATATTCTTGCAAGAACTGGTGTAAAACATCAGAAGACATCACAACCGAACACTCCGTGATTTGGTGCAGAGCTATGCAATTTGATGTCAGCATATTTTTGCTGCGTCTAAGGTCATGATGGTCCTGCTTTGGCGCTTGCACTTTGGTAGCAGAGATCATTGACTGCTATGCAGAGCATGGCATATGGAACAAATGTTTGGACTCACTGTCTCTGAATCCGTTTTGGTACTTCAGCTTTACTTCGTCGTACATGCAGCACACATGCTTTCCTCGATGATGTCAGGCTATTCTTCCTGTGTGCATGGATCAGGCTGGACGTTGAGTACTCGGATGGGTTCGAAGCCTTAGAGCATCTTAGAGCCGTCCTGGACTCTGCTTGGAAGATGCCTTCAGGTCCTTGAGGGCAGTGCTGAGAAGTTGCGTTTGAACGTAAGGTCTTTCCTCGGAATGCTGGGAAAGCCAGCTGTGCTGGTGTTCGCCGCTGAGATCATTCTATGCCAGACTGCCTGTCGAGACTTGAAGTCTTCTTCAAGAATTGATATTGTATTGGCATGTATAGTAGCTCTATGTAGTTCTGAGGATGAACCACACTTCTTTTCTGGATGCAATGTGGGGAACTAAGTTCACTGAGTTGAGAATAGTTGGGTCTGGAGAGGGATAGATGCAGTTGGTCATGACGGAGATCAAAATAATTAAAAAAAAAAATCCTGGGATGGGCATGATGCGGTTGGAACACCTCTGACTCTATCAGGTTGGCCGTCTCTTTGGCGCCACTTCCCCGAAGTCTTGACGTACGAGTGTTGGTGGCCAACTATGCACGGGACCTGGCAGTGCTAGGCCGCTAGGCTTTGTGTTTTTCAAAGCAGAGATTTACACTTCATGTTTCAGGTCTTCGACATTCCTCTCCTCGGCACTGTGATGAGAGTCTTGATCTGAGCCATTTGAGCGTGGATTTGTTTGTGGAATCTTTTGCGTGATGACATGCCTCTACGTGTTCTAGTGTTCTGAGCTACCTGGTCAGCTGATCAGGAAATTGGATTAGCAGAGGTTCCTTTCAAAGGAGCTGCAGGCTGACGGTGACACTGCGGAGTCCAAAAGAATCCAAAAGAGTCCAAAAGGCCAAAGAATGGCCAAAGCTCCAAAGTTTTCAAAGTCAAGCTCTCTTATCACATGGCTGTGCGACCCTGCGAGGTGAACATTCAAACATGGCTGTCGACAAGAACTTGATGGATGAGAGGCTTGGGGTGCCTTGCTGTTATTTGTAGTATTTTTGTATTGTTTTGTATTCTTGTTTTGTATTCGGTGGTTTTTCCGGCCCATGGAGATGCAGATGCAGTGCTCTCTCTCTCTCTCTATATCCCATGCCCCTCAGGCTCAAAAGTTTCAATGACCACGTCACGTGTGGCGGTGTGAAGAGCTTGAGATGCTTTTGAGACGTTTGCTGACAGAACAAATGGGTGTAAACAAATTGCACTGTAAAGAGAATCAGGCAATGTAGAACTTTTAGCCCTGTGCGCTCCAAAATCTGGGTCCCGAATGTCCAAATGTCCAAGGTCGGGGCTTGGTTTCCAGAAGGTTTGAGAAATCGCGGGGATCCCACAGTCCTTCAGGCACAGAGTTGCACAGGCCTTGCCGAGGCTAAGGAGGAAAGTTGTCGTCAGACTGCCCGGTGCCAGGAATTCCGTGCTGGTGCTTTCTCAGTGCCGGTGAGAACGGATGCCCCGACCCTACTGAGATGCTGGAGTCTGGAGACAAATCACCCCACATCTGAAAAAAAACATAACAATTCAGATTAGTCAGATTATTCAGGTGGAAATATGGTGTTGTGCCGCAGTTGGATGCAATGTCGTGAGCTAAGCCACAGAAGATTGGAGTCTGAAACAGTGGCTAAAATATATCCAAAGTTCCAAAGTATCATTTTCAGGTATTTTTGAATGTTTTCGATTGATCAGGGGCCGCGGAGATTTAGCTTTGCGCAGAACCAGGTGAAGACGATAAAACCGGAAGCCACTTCTCTGAGGTCAGCTGGCCTGTCAAAGCCACAGTGGGTGGACTTCCTGCTGACATCCGAGTGAAGGCCTTCCTGGTCTTTCTGCATTCATTTCGAAGCTGCTTCTCAGACACTTTTCGGACACTTTTCAGATGCATTAAAAGCTTTTACACCTTTCACACGTTTTGAGCGTCTTTGCCATCATAGCGGATTCGTCGAGATTGTTCACAGTGGGGCCTGGCAAGGTCTTTCGCTTGGCTGCCAGCAGCCACGCTTTGCTAACAGATGTTGAGGGAGACGAACGAGCCAAGGCAACACTTGCGAATCAATGTAACTTGATGTAAATTGCAGGAAAGCGCTTTTTATTTCTATTTTTTCCTTAGTTTTTTTTAGTTGTCAGCTCTCGATTTGTTAGGCGATTCATTTGGCCAGCCTAGCAAAGGCAGCTGTCCAGGCCACCACAGCTATGCGCGACAACGTGGCATCACATGCATCACATGCATCACATGCATCACACGCATCACATGCACAACACAACAGAACTTTGGTCTTTGGACTTCGGAACTTCAGACAGGAAGGGATCAACGAACTGGTGGCCAAAGACTCTGGAAAATCTACACAAGTTAGAGCCCCAAGACCTGAGAGCCTTTCCGGGCCTTACCCGCCTCTACCCGTGTCTACCCGCCTCGGCTCACTTGAGGAGAAGCAAAGCTAGTATCGTTGCTCCTGTGAGAAGATTTTCGGGCAGAGCAAATGCCCTTAAAAGCCTTCATTGTTTCATGGCTCAAAGTTGGGCAGTTTGTGTTCTAACTGAGCAGTGCCGGTTTCGACTCCTCACTTTGTTTCGAGATTCAGCTGAAGGGAAAAATTGAGCTGAGAAGCAAGGCATTGACATCCGACTTGGGACTTGTTTCGTGTAGCTCCTTTTCAATTCTTTCCCTTGTCATTAAAAAACCTCACCCGGGGCCAAGCGGCCATCGCAGAACTGGACTCCGGTTTGCTCATTGTCATGCCAAAGCCGTGGCAGCTGTTTCAGCCCCTAGTTCAGATGCCTGTGTTTCTCGGGCATGGGCGGACAATGCAGTAGCAGCTGCAGCCAGAAAACATACGAAAAAGATCAAGAAGACTTAGAGGACCCTTGGCCGCAGTGGCTGGCAACTTGTTGGCAACTTGCAGTCGGTAACATAGATAGCAAAAATAATGACAATAATAATCATAATAAGAAACATAATGATAATAATAACAGCACTAGTAATAATAGTAAAATAATCATAAAACTAATAACACTAATAATAATAGAAAGAACAATAATAAGAATGATAATATTATGAACAACAATGTTAACAATAATAATGATAATGATAATGATAACACACACATATATATAATCGTAATAGTAATAATAATAATAACAATAATAATAATAACAATAATAATAATAACAAAATAATAATAATATTAATATATATATAGTATATATATAGTATAATGTATATAATATATATATATAATATATATGTATATAATATATATATATATCACACACACATATATATATGATACATTGTATTACTAGCTGGTGTGGTTTAGCGCAGATTGGGGTGCTTCGACGCCTCGCCCTTGCCAGGCGGCACCACTTGCATCATACCCCAAGTGCTCACATAGGAGATCTCGACGACCACGCGAACCGAGGATGGGATCGACTCTGTTGCCTCCACACAGGTTGGAGCCCATGAGATTCTCGAATTCTTGAGTAAGGCCAGACAGATGCACTGTTTGCAGATTGCAGCAAGCCTGCGGTGGCTTGCTGGAGGAGCTCAATTCAATTCAAATCACCCAATCGCTCTAACTAGACAGAGTTAGATGAGTTAGGCAGTTAACTAGACAGAGTTAGACTAGGTTGCTCTTGCGATGTTCTGGGCTCACGGATCCCGAGTGTATGCTTTTAAAGTGGGAGGTGGGAGACTTCGAGCTGACCAGGTACAGCTCTTCAAGCGCTTACCACAGGATGTGCTTCCGTCGCTAGCTTCAGTCTGTGAGGTCAAAGACTACCTGCCAGGTTGGGAGCTCAACCGGGCTCACAGTGCTTGGAGCACTGTTTCAACAGATTTCAACCCCATTTGGTCGAAGCTAACATTGTCAAGTTGCACTTGGGAAGAACCCAGCACGGCCGTCAAGACACTTATTTAGTATCATTCAATTGCCTATCAACCTGAGGCGATGTTGTTATTGAGCAAGGCGATGATGGGCATGAACTCTTTGTCATCAGGCGCAACTATTGGGAACGTTTCAAGTACGTCCAAGTGTTTGTTGTAGATTGCCTGCGGAACTTCAGAAGCAATGCGAGGCTAGCGCCGTATTTTGACTTAGATGCTGGTCCCAACAATTTTTGATCGTTAAGAATTACATGTTGTTGCAAGCATTGACAGAAGACCTCCTGTGACCCCTCCAAAGGCCGACCAACAAGGTGGAACCACACGGGTGGAACCACACGGGTGGAACCACACACAAGTAGAGTGGCATCACAAGATAGCAATCAATGGAACTGTTTCCTGTCGAAAGCGATGAAAGTGATTAAAAATTCGAATTTCGTTGTGTTCCTCTGATGTTTTCGCCAGCTGTTCTTCCAATGTCTCACTGCGAGGTGGGGCGTTACGTCAGTCCAGGTCAATGGCCAGGAGGTCGCCCAGCTGAAGGACCAGAACGGAAGTGATGAGCAAGTTACTCAGGTGTAAGTTGTAAGTATAAACACAATGAAATAAGTATGTAAGAAGTATATATGTTGTAAGTAGAAGACAAGGCAATGATAGCGATGTAAAATGTAGCATCTGATTCTCAAAAAGATGAACGACGCAAGAGGTCAAGATGTCAAGATGTTAAGATGAAAGCTGAAAATGAAGCTTTCGTGCGAGACTTCCCTCAAAAAGTGAAGGTTGAAGATGTGAAAACGAAGCTTTCGTGCGAGACTTCCTTAAAAAAGTGAAAGTTGAAGATGTGAAAACAAAGCGTTCGTGCAAGACTTCCCTCAAAAACTGAAAGTTGAAGATGTGAAAACAAAGCGTTCGTGCAAGACTTCCCTCAAAAACTGAAAGTTGAAGATGTGAAAACAAAGCGTTCGTGCAAGACTTTGCTCAAAGAGAAGAAGATGTGAAAATGACGCTTTTGTGCGAGATGATCTCGCCCTCAGATCATCTCACTCTCTTCTTCCCTCACCCTGAGATCACCTGACTCTCATCTCAACTCGCTCTCATCTCAACTCATTCTGAGATCCTCTCACCCTCAGCTCAACTAAGTCGAAGTGACGAAAGTGCGAAAGTGACGAAATCGCAGGAAGGGGACTATTTTGGAGAGAATGCGCTCTTGAGAGACGAGCCGCGCACAGCCACCATCCAAGCGAGCCTTGGCAGTAGAAATTGTGCAGGCATATATTTATATAGATGTATGATGTATGTAATGTCAATCGTGGTGTGTATATATATATACACATACACACAGATTTTTCTTTTGCACACACACACATATAGATATCATACCTATATATACACATATGTATAGACATGTCTCATCTTGGTGGAGGTTTTTGTTTGGTTGAATCAGACAGCACTGTGTATGCATTATTTCGTATTTGTACAGTTTTTATGGGGTTCTCAGTTTGCGCAGTTTTGTGTTGTGTGCACCATTTGACGTGCACTGCCTGTCGCATGTTTGCTTCTGGTCCTTCTGGCCCTTAGCTCCGCTGAACTCGCAGAGATGGCGATGGAAACATGTATAGATAGATGGCTATGATGCGTACATATGCTCACATGTGAATTGCACATATCCGCATACGACGCATGTGTGTATTTGTTCATGAACACACAACGATGTTATGTCGCATTTCGGTGTAAGTGGTCTGTATTTGAACAACTATATGTCAGCCATGCATTTGCAGTGCTTTGCAGCGACTTCTCTACCCTACCTGCTCTGACATTCCAAGGAAGGCCCCTTTGTCCACAATCATTGTGCGGCGCTCTAAATTTGATGAGCTGGGCTTACGCGAAAAGCTACATTTCAAAGTGCGGAAGGTGCTTACAGGGGCAATTGCCAAGAGTATACCTGCGGCTTGCGTAAATCCCAGCGTTGGCACCATACTGAAAGACGAATCCTGAAATCATCAGATGTTTTGGTGGAAATACAGTGAGTTAAGGTGTGTTTCCAATGAGCACTTTATCTGATCTTTATCCCCGTTTTTGTCCTGATTTTCTGCTGACTCTTTCAGTGGCAGGCCATCGGCGGAGGCTTCTTAGAAACTGCTGCGGTCCTGTGCTGAGCCCAAAGGCGAAATTATTGGTTTGAGCAATTCGCTCCAGGGAACGTCCTAGCCTTGTTTTAATTCTGCAATGCTTGTATATTATTACAGTACCTCACTGTGATCCCTTTGCTGAGTGGTTTCCTTATTCTGACGGTACCCAAGCTTGCCCAGTAGAGTCTCAAAATGTCTCACGATGAGGGGCTAGAGTCTAGAGATGCTGCTTCAAAAGGTTCCTGACTTGAATTCCACAGGGTCTACATAACATTATATAACCAGAGATAGATTGCACTGACAGGGTCTAGACAGGAATATTCGCATAGATCGCTGCCAAGACTTCGAGACTTTGCTTGCGAAAGTTCTGGACAATAAGGTTTCGCTTTCCCTGTTTGCTCTGGAAACGTGATGTGGAATCGGCTTGTTCGATTGACTGGAGTGAAAATTTTGTCTTGGGGATCCAATGTGCAAGTGTGCAGAGATGCAGACACATTTGCATGAAGTCCAATACACCATACTCGCGCAATCCAGCGCAAATGAATGGGAAAGAAAATAAATGATTACACCATAAGGATCACCCTGGTCTGGTTTGAAGTGGAAGTGAAGTGAAAGAACATTATGTGCCCTGCTAAGCATAGCTCATGGGGCACACGTCCTCAGTACCACTTGCGCGCCACTAGGGGGCAGACACCGCAGTGGCGGGCAAAGACTTTTGGGGAGTCTTCTGCCAACTGCGCATCTACATCTCCACAATGGCTGGATATTTTTTAAAGAAACTCTTGGATATTCTTGGATTCTTTTCAGGCCTAGGCCTAGTTTCGCATGAAATGAGCCTCTTTTTGCGAGCATTGTCGTCCCGAAAATGGCTGGAGTTTCGCAAAGCAAGGTCCGACGAGTCATTTAGGTAATGCTTCCCCTCAATTCACTCTTGACCGCAACACGGATCCAAATGTGCAATGCTGACCTGAAAAGGTGAAACATTTGTCCCGCATCAATCCATAACATGGGAATCCAAGCACGTCTTGCACCCCATCTCCATGTGAATCCACTGTGAATGTGCTTGTTTGTGAAGTGTACGCTTTCCTAGGCCAAGCCGCCCTGTTCGAAGACTCCTGCAGAGCGTGAGGTCATGGAAAGGGTCCCGCCTTGCACGTTTTTCATGCTTCCCCGTTCCACGTGTTTCTCATGAGCTGAGCAGTCACGTGCATGAGCTGCAACATCTCGTAGCCAGGCATTGAAGAACAACTCGAACTTGCAAGGACTGGTGAGGAGCTTTGCCATGCTCTGCGAGAGCGAAGGTTTTTGTGCTGCCAGAAGCTCCGTGTCAAGTCTCCGTTTTTGATACTCGTCGACTCGTCGATGGTGCGGCCGAAAGCATCGAAAGCTAGCGGCTCCGTGTCACTCCGTCGAGGTGGCACTTGATGATAAGAGCATCCAGCAGCTAATCGATTGTGCTTGGGAGGCGAGCGGTCTCGAAGGATGTCGAAGGTAGATAGCAAGGATAGCAAGGATAGCAAGGATAGCAAGAACAATGCACCAAAGCTTTGGATGCGGCCTGAATTCTAGAGGACTCAGGATAGCAGCGGGAACTTCATGGAACTTCTGTTCATGAATAATTTCATGGAACTGTACTGTAACTTTGTTTGTTGGTTTCAGTGCATTTGGAGATGCCTGGAGGCTTCCTGTGGACCAGGGCAGATTCCGGGGGGAATATAGTTCCAGTTGAGCAGATGTGCCAGTGCATGACAGGAACAGGCGCCGGCTGGCTACAATGTCATCAGTGAAGGTGACATCAATGCAAGTTTTTTCTACATCGTAAAGTCCGGAAACCCAGCAGGCAGTCTCAACTGGAGGTCTCCGACAAAGCATAGGCAGGCTTTTGTTGGCATTTGCACTCAGGAACGGAAAGTTCGATGTGATGCAGTTGGGACCTTAAAGCGTGTCTAACTTGCTCAACAGCATGGACTGAATCAGCGCCTTGGTCATTTTTCATTTGGTTCAGGAAAAGCTCAGAAGCGGGCAAGGATGAGGTTGAACGTGCACTCCCAAGTGAAAGCCTTCCTTTGGATGTTGCCATGCTGAAACTTGCAAGGTGTTGGGCAGCTCAAAATTGGCAACAGTTTTGGAGAGCTCGTAGCTTACTTTTGAAGCGTGCAAAGTGCATCTTGGACCGGTTGCAAAGTGTGCACTTGACCGCTTTGAATCCATGTCAGGCTGGCGCTGATTTATACCGCACCACGTGCGGCCACTGTCAAGGTGGGGGCACACGCAGATGCGGCATATCAATAGGATATATATTTGAGAATGATTTGAGTTGCTCAGCTTGTCGGTTGGCAGACCTCTGCAACAGATTCAAACTTCTTGGAAGATAATCTGGAAATCCGGGATGGTTTGCAGCTCGAATCCAGTTTGCAGGCAGTGATTGACTCCGAGCTTTGGGTCATGGATAGGTGGCATGTCTCCGAAGATTTGGTATGTTGCAAACTATTCAGCCGCAGTCAGATGAGGATTTGTTAGTGACTTGGTAGTGTATCTAAACATTTTTGTGCTAGTGAGCGTTCGCCTGTGATTCATGGGGGCGTGAGCATTTTGCAAAGGTCGGACTTCAAGAAGATCCTTACAGACAAATATGATAAAGCCAAGGCGAAGATGCAATGACATGTGGTGTTTGCATGTGTTTGCTGTATATTGTTTTGGCTATGTTTGCGTGCACACGGCAACTGCCCCTCGCTGTCCCCCTTGTTCTTTGTGTACTCATGGGGTTCTTAGTTCTGGGATGTCCCAAGATGCTCTACTTGTACGATGTCCTACGTCAGTTCACAACGTTTGCAGGAGTACGTGGTCTACCTTGACAAGGACGGCAGATGACGGCAGCTCGTTTGCACATTTGCCGTGCTCCCTGCCACCCGAATGCAGGTGGATCTTTTGAGGGACAACCTGAAGGCAGAGGAGAAGCAGGCGCACCGGCAGACGTAGGTGCAGGGTGGCCTCATCGTGCTTAGAGATCCTTAGAGTACATCATGAATCGATGAATCGTGGTGCCATTCTACGGTGCTCATTGTGGTCCAGGGCGAAGGGAGCATGAATACATTGAATACATTTGAATACATGCATCACGATGCTGGATTAATTTAATGTGCATCACGTCGTCCCTTCTTTCTGCCAGGCTTTAGCCCAATCCTTAACTGACTTGGCCTCAGTATGAAATCCGCCCGCACCGAAGGTAAAGATACGTTTTTTGTTGGCACGCATGATCTGGAAGCAATTGCAATAGCTAGTAAGCTTTAGCTTGCGGGGCCATTATTGCTCTAGAATCCTGTGTTTTTCCACGTTTTTTAAAGGGACCAAAAATCGGCTAAGTTGCCACACTTGGGCCCAACATGGCCCAACATAGGCAGAACATGGGCCCAACACAGGCCCAACATAGGCCCAACATAGGCTCAACGTGGCCCATCAATGTGCCCAACGCGGCCCAACATAGAGCCAACATGGGCCCAACATAGAGCCAACATGGGCCCAACATAGAACCTATGGGTTTTGTTTATTGGAACTCCTTAGCTAACGCTCCGATGCGGGCGGTTGTCGTCGCGACCAGAATACCTTGGCCATGACTGGCCAATGCTGCGCGCTGAAGATGTTTGACCTTGGCACTCAGGAGATGTCCTTTACGGATGGTGAGTTGATCTTTGAACAAGGAACCTTGGCTGCCTTGGCTTCTGTTCGCACCAGCTTCATGGTTTTCATGGGCTCAATGATTTTTCGGGTCCGAGTCTCTTATCTTCAACTAGCAGCAAGATGCAGCAAGAGTTGGATACAAACACTTTTGCGACGGGGCGGCGCACTGTAGAGCTGCTGCGACATGGTGCTGTTACGGTGTGTTGTTTCCGAGGTGAAGCTGGTGACTCTTTTTACATCCTCATTGATGGCCAGGCTGGACGTGTGCCAACGCGATCCAAAGCGCGCCAAGCTACTTCGGTGTGTGAGTAGTTTAAGGTACTTTAAGTGAGCGTTTTGAGGTCTCTGTCATCAAAAACGGTGTCGAGCAAACCCGGCTCACTGTCGAAACCCCAGAAGTCCTGACGAAATCTCTTCTGTGCAGCTGTCGCGAATTTTGAAATGCGGCAGATGCAGATGGGCTATGCGAAAGTCGCATATTTTGGCGCTTGGTTTTAAGACGATGCGGGCCCAGGGCATGGGAGTTACTGAGGCCACTGCATCGTCAGCTCAGCATTTCGGCGAGCGGGCGTTGCTCAACAATGCCCCCCGGGCTGCGACCATCAAGGCTAGGAACGGATAGGAACGGATAGGAACGGATAGGAACGGATAGGAACGGATAGGAACGGATAGGAACGGATAGGAACGGCGGTTCTTTCTGTGGAAATGCCAATGCTGTGCCAATGCTGTGCCAAGCAGGTCACTTCAGAAGTGGCAAAGACCCTTCGCTTGGACCGTGAGTTTGGGCCAAAGATCAAAGTGAGACACAAAGAGACCAGTGAGGCAAATGCAGACTTGGAGATGAGCCAAAACAGAGATGAGAGCGGACGGTGAAAGCGAAATTGAGATGCTAAGCAAGCATGACGCCATCCTATTCTGGTGGAATTGAGACGGATGTAAAGGTATACATTCATGATCATATGTCTAGTCTGTACGTATTTATAGATGTGCGCAAATGTCCCTGCTGCCATTTCCGATTTTTCGCATTTTTCACAGTTTGAGTCACTCAGGACTTTCGAATGGCTTTTGGGCTCGCTGGAGGCGTTTGGATTTCAGCTCACGATCGGATTTTTCAATGCGCTGCTAAGATCTTAATCTCCGTAGCAGTGTGACTTGTAGACTTTGGACAGTTGACTTTCGACTTCCGCAGTGGACAGGAACTTCAGAGGATGGGCAAAGACCGCCCTGTCGTTGTCATGAACCCTTTGGTCGGAGACTTTGTGAAACTGCTTCCTCTTTGAATCATGATGTACTCTTTAGCCGCATTGTAATCCCGGAAGGGTGGACTGCACTGTATGCTGGTAGTTTGGTAGCCAGTTTAATGTTCTAACATGTTCTAGTATTCCTATCCAGATTCAGTTGTCCAGGAAAGAGTAAAGAGATCAACGCCAGAGAAGGTTCTGACATGTTCTAGCATTTCTATCCAGATCCAGTTGTCCAGGAAAGAGTAATGAGATCAAAACCAGAGAAGGGAAAAGAAAGATGGGGTCGGGGTAGAATCGGATAAAGTGCAAAGTAGACCGTGAGCATCAGAGTAGGGAAAAATAACAGTAAAAGGATCAAATTTAGAGCAGTGAAAAAGGTAGCCACAATTTGTTTTGGAAGCGATCATTGATGTACTGAGTCACCCAGTGCTTTCTTGGCATGGTGTACAATCTTTCTGTCTTTGGGTTTCCTGATTCAACATGATTTGATTAAACTACGACCTAGTTGAGAATCCTCACCGAAAATCTTCGTTGAAAATAACTGCTTGGCTGCTCCTATCTTCGCCGAGACCAAACTGATTAAGAGTTCCTCGTTGTTGCGCAGCGCGTCGCATATTGGGACCTGTGGAGGCCTTTGCGGGGCATTGACGAGAGATGAGATGATTATTTTCTGATTTATTATCAGGTGAATGGGGAGATGTTTGGATATGATTGGAGGATATGTATGAATGCAGCAGCAGCAGGCCGTGCAAAGTGAAGCATGCCACCTAGAACAGCAGCACAGTCCACTAGCTGCTAGCCTTTTCATGTCTTTTCTGTTGCCGTAACCTTTGCACTCCAAAATATCATAAACTATCCAAAGGTAGCTGGCCTTAATTTTTGGCTGCTTGCATTTCTCGTTTAAGATCTGTCTCAGGCGACCGGGAGTACGAGAGTCTTGGTCCCATAGAGAGGTCAGCTTTGAGCTTTGGCAGCTGCAGCAGTCATGCTAGAGAGGTAAGCCAATGTAAGCCACCTCCGCTAAGTTGGAAGGCAATTTGTGCTGAGTTTTGGGACATATATTTTTGAAGTTGGACTAATAGTCGGACGTTTTCCTCAGATTTTGGCCCCAAACCTAGCCTTTGCTGTTGGAATGGTGCTGTGGGCCTTTCTGCTGGGCCTGTGTGGGGCAGAGTATGTTCATCATGAGGCTGGCAGCTCTGCATTAGTACTTATAATGAGTGTTGTTGGGTTATGATGGTTAAGGTTATGTTAGTTGCCTGTTAGTTACCTGAAAGCTTGAAACTGCAGAACCTTTGCTGTGAGAAAACTTACTTACTGCACGCCTTTCTTCCTGCATGTGCTTTTGCTTTCCGCTATGCGATGAATGCAGGACTACATGGATGGGGACTTCTTTGGCAAATGGGATTTCATTTCCGGGGACGACCCTACACATGGCTTTGTTGACTATGTAACAGCCGAGAAAGCCGTAGCAGAGAACTTGGTGAGAACAACTTCAAATGGAGCCTTCGGCATTGATTGGAGATGAGTTTCGAACTGTTCAGGATTGTCATTACCTGGGTGTACCGACGCGTTTCCTCCGACAGTGTGCGTGTTGCTGTGACTGTCGTAGCTGCAAAGATTTGCAATGCTGAGGCATTTTCATCGGAGTGGACAACCGGAGCCGTGTAGCGGGTGGGTCTCGTGGGCGTATGTCAGTGCGCTTGGAGTCAATTCAGAGGTACAATGATGGTCTCTTCATCATCTCCCTAGAGCACGCACCCATTGGCTCTTTGGATGAGAAGTGGTCAAGACATGTCAAGATGCCCTATATTTTTTCACGTTTTTTAAAGTAAGTAAGGATTTCTCGTGGTTTTGGGTGTTTTAATTGCCTTGCTCTTGTTGGACCATAGACAATTTCCAAGGCTGCGGCAGTTGGCCAGCATTCTGGATGTTTGGAGAGGATGAGAACAACGTTTGGCCGGAATGGGGTGAGTTTGACATCATGGAGTGGATCCATGAGGAGGAAAGTGTCTCCACCACCTTGCATACAAAGGAGAACTGCACCCAAAAACACCTGTATCCAGGATGGCACATGAAAGCGAAATGGAACAAGGGCAAGTGGCCAAGCGTCGATGCCAGCGATTGTTTCGTGCTCGCAGATGGCCAGTGGACCAACCAGGGCTGTTCACAGCGAGGTATGCATGGATCAATTGGTGAAGGCTTCAATGCAGCAGGCGGTGGCACTTATGCAGCAGAGTGGGACCCAATTGCAGGCCACATGCGAGTTTGGATCTGGCAAGCGGGCCAGGAGCCGGAGGATGTCATCAACAAGAGGCCAAATCCAGAACTTTGGGGGCAACCCGAGTTCTATTTCAGCTTGAAGGATGACTGCCAGCCAACTCACTTCAAAAACATGAAACTGGTCTTTGACATCACCTTCTGTGGCGATCTTGGGTGTCCTGATGGGTTTAGCAGATTGCCATGCCTAGTTTTTACGTGTTTTCACATCAGAATTTGAAAAAAGTCTTGTGAACAGTACTGTGTGTGCCGGATTCCGTGCATACGCAAACAGCGATAGCATTCAAAGACACCCGCGCACACACAGCCACTTAAGGTGTACACACGAGGGCATATATGTAATAATATATATATATAATACATATGGACTCATGTACGTGTTCATATTATATTCACATAGAACATGCACACGCACGGACACACACACACACATACACACACACACATATATATATATAATATATATATATAATAGGCATTATCTTTGTGACTATATTACTTTTTGGGACTTGTGGCAGTACTCCATTCCTCTCAGCTTTTCCAGCCCAGGGAGCCAACTTTCAGAGATCATTGTGGTCGGAAGGGCTTCGGTAGCAAACAGCGGACGTACACAAGCTGTGTCGACATGGTCAGGAAGGAATTCTCCGCCTTTGACAAGACCTACTGGTCTGTACAGGGCCTGGACGTCTACCGACGTGCCGACGCTGGGTCTTTGTCTGGACTCTTGGAGGCTTGGGGATTTGCCGTTCTAAATTTATTTGCACTTCATGAAGCTTCAATCAGCAAAAGCAGCACTGTCAGGGAAGGGCAACTGAGAAGGATTCCGTGGATGAAAGGCAATGCAGGCCACGGCGATTTTGTGTTGAATGAGGCATCCTTGTGCCACTTGGCGCGCCAATTGGGAGGTCTGAGCATGCAAATCAGTTGCAAAAACGCATCAAGGACTCTGCGGTCAACAAAAGTGCCTCAGAGCCCAAAATGCACAGTAAGGGATAGAAATGGTCAATTAAGACATGGTTAGAACAGCTTGGCACTCACCGCAGGAGTTGGAGAGCATCCTTTTCATGAAGGAGGCAGAACTGAAAGAGCTGTATGCACTGCTGAACCAGGCCAGGCCGGATCGCACACCGGCTTCCCTTTCTTTAGCCTCCTTTTCTAAGGTGAAAATTCATTAGACAGGGTCCCTTTGCTGCACAAACCTTCATGCAGGCAGAGACTCCGGATTCACCACCTGGCCATGGAAGGCCAGGAGTGCTTCATAGGAGATATGCACAGATTTGCTGAAATGACTTTACAAAGGACTTGCAGAGATTCAAGATGATTCAAGTCAATGATGCTTTCTGTGTTGAAAGAAGAGACTCCGTTTCTGTAAGTTGTGGCGGGAACATTTCAGAGGAGGCCTTCATCCGTGGCTTTCTGAGTGTCCAGAACCTGAGGTTCTGGTCAGGCAAGCTTGCACTATGCCGGTGGGCCATGGAGGGACAAAACGATTGGGGTAGATTAATGGGGAGGGTTTGGGGTTCGTGGTGTTGGATGACAAGGAATCCCAAGGCCATTAGGATAGCAGACACACAGAGGCAGGAAGAGAAGGCTACGCCGCTACGCACTGCACGCTCAGCGCCATTTGCATCTATACGTACATTTGGCAGGCTATGGAGCAGACGCGCCCCTTCTGAGCTGAGGGTCATGTATGTGGAATCAAGAATGGAAGAACGCTGATATTTTTTAAAGGATCGCGCAGTCGAAAGCTGCTCAGCAGAATCAAGAATGGAAGAACGCTGATATTTTTTAAAGGATCGCGCAGTCGAAAGCTGCTCAGCATGCAAGGGTGCCAACAAATGGCAATCTTGCACTTCAATTCGCACGTCTTGCGGTCACAGGATTTGATGTGCTCGTGCTTGGCGTCACAGACTAGAGCTAGCAAAGACTGGCTTCTAGAGCTAGCAACCCGTGTTTAAATGGGAAAACCTCTTGGCATTGCCTGGTTCTCATTCCCCTGAATCATTCCCAACATTTCCCAACAAATTTGGAACGACTGCCGCGTGCAACGATGTTGACAGCGGTGTGCAGGAAGCACCTGAAGCCCATCGGCTTGCTGGGCTGCGGTGGATTCGGATCCGTGGAGCAGGGCTCTCATTGCGGAATGCAAATCAGAGATTTTCGAAAGGTCGCTCCAACCTGCCCAACCTGCCCAACCTGCCCAACCTGCCCAACCTGCATGGGGCATCAGGGCATCAGTACTTTCATGATGTTATGCTTTGCAAACTGTCTCCATTGGCCTCTAAAATGACATGTAGCCAAATTGTAGCCAAATTGATGCCATATTGTGGGACTTTGACACGCGTCTAGAAATTGAGTCGAAGCAAGAGCGAGAGGAGACTTGGAGGTTTTAGGGAATGGCGAATAAATATAGAGTTGGTCATCGGGCTCAGTGACTGAAAATGACTGAACGAATTGAAACAGATTGAAACTCTTTCTGACGCTTTTGTGAAATATGTATATAATGGTATACTGTATATATAAATATGTTCCATAAAGAAACTGCAGATGTTTTTAAACTTTTTCGAAATGAGCTTTGGGGCTTCGGAATGGCTTCGGATTCGAGGCTGGTGGAGCACGAGCACACGGGGGAGACCTATGCACTGAAGGTGGGACTCGGACAACAGGTCGTTGCGATGACTTTGGACGATCACGGAACTTGCACAACATGCGACACCGCCGAGATGCCAAGAGTGACATACGCGGTTGCCACAGGTTTGAAACAGAAAGATTAGAAAGGCTGTTGATTACGATGTTACGACGATGTTCATTTTTGTGCTGAATGATGCTGATGCTGCAGTGCTCTCGTGCAAGTGCTGCTTGCTGATGTGGGGCGTTTTTTTGGGGGACCTTGCTGTCCCACTGAAAGCGTGACGGGATTTGACGGGATCTGGGGCCTATGCGAGTCTCCGTCAGAAAATAAGTTGGGGTGAGAGAGAAGAGAAGGAAGCCAGGGGTTCAGCATGATTCAGCACGATTCAGCAAGGATGGTAGAATTGTGTACTGACAGGCTATGAGCAAAGGTTTCATAATCCAGTGTGGAATGAAGCAGAGCGTCCTGACCGCTGCGGCCTCAGTTCTGCTAAGACAATTAGCTTGCATCATGGATTTGAACATCATAGGAAATCCATGGAAGTTCAGTATATCAATGTCAACTGTGTAAATGGCTACGATATACTTGCACAAACAGGATAAGAGACGGCGTGCCCATGTAGCAATCTTGCTTGAAAACATACGTTCTCTTTTATTCATGCATGTATCATGTACATATTGTCATATTTTAACCTATATATATATAGAATATACCGCGTTCCTACCAAGCTGCCATCTAGGAGAAGGCGGTGCAGATGATGTGCAACTCGCTGTTTATCATCCGTTTGTACGAGAGCCTCGGCTGCCCTGTGTTTTGTTAGCCTCAATACCAGGAAGCGCTCAAGGGATCAAGACTGATCATAGATTTTCAAAAAAATACTTTGGATTATTCGATTATCTGGATAGAAACGGACAATGCAGGCAGTCCACTAAGATAAACACCGGGGAGATGGGCCAAAGTGCCACTCTGGGGCCAATATCCAGCAATTTTATGCCGAGTTCTTGTCAGCAATTTCGTCCGGTTAAGGACTTACAACAGTGACCAAAGCCTGAAGCACAGCCTGGAGATCGCTGCAAGATTTGATGGACCGTGCAATCTGATGTGACTGTGACTGATATGTAATTTTTCAAATGTTCAACACATGTTCAACATACCTACACTTGAAACAAGTTCTACTTGAACTACCCTGCTTCTGAGAAGAAACACTAGAGTCCTTTCAGCTTGTTCGTTGGAGATAGCATGAAGGTCGCTGTAATCGCACAAGCCACTGATAATTGCCACGTCATTGACTCGTTGCATCCAAGCTCTCTACTTCCTACTGGAAGCCGCCCTTGGCGGTGAGCTCTATGCGACGTCGAGAGCCTCAGAGTGTCGGAGAGGTTTTCAGCTCTCACAGCTGAGTGTGGGAATGGCATGGCGTGGCCCGAATGAAAGTATGAAATGATAGTCACTTAGTCTTTGCATTTCTGTTTCCCTTTTTGGGCATGACCCGTACAAGTGCCCGGCAGGGGCCTGTAAGGATATCCGAGTCAAGGGGGTCCATGGGTGTGGCAATACTCGAGCTGAACCATGTTATCTGCAAAGGCCATCACTTACGCCAAGACATCCATATTCCCCAGCAGTTTGAAGTCCCGGTGAGCGTGCTCCATTTGAAGCGTGCCTAGGTACAACAAAAAGGGATTCTTTGGGAAGGACGCCAACGGTCTCAGCTAGTCTTAGTTATAGTTTGTGTTTCGCTGCAGTCCTTGCATTGAAGATGGAAGAAGCATGCCAAACAAAATTTACCTCCATGCTGTGTGCACCTGGCGGGTGTGCACCTGGTGTCTCCCATCACGATGGATTCTAACTCCATCAGCGACTTCGCAACTATATTGGATATTATCGCATCATGCCCGCGACATTCGCTCACAGCTCAGGTGTAGCTGTAGCCGTAGCAGGTGTAAGATCCAGGATGTCCAGAAGAGTTGCAGAATACGTGTGGAAATCTTGTGTCTTCAGATCCACGGGGCCAAGATCTCCTCCCACAGACCTCTCCCAAAGTCTCAATCCAACGTGCTTATAGATCTTAGTTGGACTTGGTTCTATCGTGTTTTCGAACAGAGGCCTTCAATTTAGTTACTCAGCCGGAGCAGGTCCACAAGGCATCACTAGAATCACTAGAACATCCGCCATGGCTGCCAAAGAAGCAGCTGCAAGGCACTTCACTGCTTTGATGCTGCGTCCATCAACCTTGTGAATGCGTGTGAGTGCAGGCAAGCAGTGGAGAGCTTCATCCAAAAGCAGAATGTCGAGGGAATCGTGCAGGCCATGTCACATGTGTACTTTGACATACGTTGACATACGTTGACATACGTTGACACGATCGACTTAGTCGACTTATTGATGCATGATTTGGCACACCAAAGTGACCGAAGTCAAGGGGGAAAGGCTGGGGCTGAGGAGCTGATTCAGAAGCTGCTGGTTGCAAAGCCAGAGAACCCACGGCAGTTCCTCCTGAATTACTTGGAAAAGGACCTTTGAGAGAGAGAGAGAGAGAGAAATATGAAATATAGATATAGAATGACGTAGAAACTGTTACTTGAAATTCAGCATGCCAGTGTCGCAAAGAGACGTCTTGGCTCGCGTGACATGTCAGGACTTCCAGGCTCAAGATGATGAACTGACCGAGGCAGATTTGCAGAGGCTTTTCTTGGTCTCCCGGCGGATCACCGGCAAAATCAATCCACAGGAGACAATCAGCGCCGCTGTTGCACCAAGTTTGCATGGTTTGCACGTCCAGGGCGGTTTTTGTCAGTGTGCGGAGTAAAGACTCAGGTGCTACAATCAAGGAGACCATGGGTCTCCTGCATTGTGATGCTGTTTCACTTTATGCCGGGGCCTATGTTTTAGCTGGCTTGAGACCTTTGAGCCTGTTGAGGTGCACTTGGAAGCCAAGATTGCATGGGAACTCCTAAAGCCACCTCCCAGCTTGGCTTCGCTTATCCGCTTTCCCAGGTCTTGGACCGCAAAATGCAGATGCTAAGACTCTACACACATCTGACTGAGTTTCCGATCATGCTGAGGCCAACTAAATACGACTATTTTCAGAGTTCTATTGTTCTTTGAGAACTTTACTCTGCAATTTCAACATGTGGTGCGTAGTCATGAGTCACTGCCCTTTTTCCAGGCTGAATCATGGGATTGCCGGCAGCGTCTTCCTAAAGCAGGAGTTGGTGAATATCGCCAACTGCCAGCAGGTGGGCCCAAAAAGAGTCTTCGCCACTCGCCGTCACTCGCCTTCTCCAATGAGGATAGCCGCTTTGACCGGACCATGGACATGCGGACTGGATACTTTACTCGGAGTATGATCGTGGCTGGGGCCCTGGGTGAAGCTGAGATTTCATGAGATTTCAATGTCACCAGACTTCACCATGAGGCTCATGAGGCCCTCATGAGGCTTCTTAGGCTTCTCGTAATTGTTCTGTCCGATCCTGTCCAGATTCTAAGGTCCCAATCTTGGACATCGAAGGTCAAAGCTGCGGCGTTCTGCAGGCAGTTGTGGTGCTGGAAATCCTGCGATAATCTATGATATGCTTGAGTGCTTCACATTCACACGAGACAGATGGGATTTGGCAGGCGATCAACAAGATGCCAACGGGCGTCGAGATCGATGAGACTGTGGCCGTGGGAAAATTTGCGGTCGCTTTTTCGCTGGTAGATGAGTGGCTCTTCTGAAAGTGATCTCAGTAGATATCAAGGTTCATCAGGTCATGCGGCTCATTTACAATTGGAAGAATCTGACACAATCAGAGCTTTGGATGTTGATGCCTCTGTGAAACCAGCAAGGACTAGAAACTATTGGACAGTTGCAAACATACGGGCAATCAAAAACAGAAAGGCAGAAGAAGGACAGGAGCGAGTCATAGAGAGTTCTATTTTGGTTTGGCATGGTTTAGCTTTATCTTTTTCGGAGCGCGACTTGAGGAAGATGCTGCTACATTTGGTGCAAAATGTTGCTATAGCCATTCAGAATGCAGAAATTTATCGCGAGGCCATCTCCCAGCATTCCATCATATTCCATCCTTTCTTTTTCTTTTTCTTGCTTTTCCCAGTCGTCCTGTTGCAGCAGAGCCCATGTATGCTGAGTGCTTGTAGGCTCTTGAACACCTCAATGTAATTTCAGCTTGATGATGAATCAAACTACTGCCATGACTTGTCATGACTTGTCGTGAGTGTTTGTCTGTCTGCCTGCCTGGCTGGCTGTCTGGCTGTCTGTCTGTTTGTCTGTCTGTTTGTCTGTTTGTCTCTCTGTCTCTCTCTCTCTCTCTTTCTCTCTCACCCGTGAGGACAATGTGTGACATGTGAGAGAGCAAGAAGGGAAAATTGCGAACAAAACATAGCAAGACTGCAGGCGATCAACTGCAGTGAACGTGCGACGGGGCTGCTCAATACTATCCAGAGCGTGTCCCAGGCCGTGCAGACATTGCTGACAGAGACAAGCATAGAACGAATAGAATCAAAGCAGAATCTGCGCGTTCCTAGGGCCATCTCCACTGACTTTAGGACCTCGGGCCTCAGTCTCTCCTCCTCACGGTGACAACGCATGCGAAGCTTGGCAGCAAAAGGCACACAGACTGGAGACAGCTGCATGAGTGTGGCCAAAGACAGTACAGTAGGATTGCGCACACACACAGAGATATATATATATATATAAACAAAAACACACACACACATACACACACACATATATATATATATATGTATATTCATATGCATACGTAACGATAGCATATTTGAGTATATTTGGCAGTCGTATCCAGCATTCCATTTCGTATTGCATCTTCTGGGGGTCTTGAGCCTAGGAGCAAAGTCTGCAGCGCGGAAAGGCTCAGCCAAAATATCTGGAAATATTTTGTTCACAGCAGTGGCAGCCAGAAGATTGCAAAGTTCAGTTCACTGTCTCCTTGCCCTCGAAGTGTTCTTGGAATTGAGATCTTGTAGGTCCACTGTCTTCCTTGTGGATGAAGCAGCCGAACAACTGTGGTCGGTGTCAACTGACACTGGTGCCGAGATTCGGATCCCGAAAGACAAAGGCCGCGTCTTTACGAAAGACAAAAAGTAGCAACCGTCAGCCACCATCGTCTGGTGAGGGTTTGAGCTTTCACCTTTTTCCCTTGCAGGTATTGCAGGGGAGTGCTGTTGCCACTGCGTTGTCATCAACATTCCGGATCCTCACTTGTCAATATAGTGGACCATGGCATCGCAAGGGTGGGGTCAGTTGAAGTATTCATGCGGCCAATGTAGATGGCCAACATGGTGGATTCTCATTGATCTATTGACTCTCGTGCTACTATGTGGCACTGAGGATGCGTATGCAGATCCCCGCTTCAACAAGCAGGTGGACATCCAAACAGGCCTTGCAGTTGCAAGGGTTCGGGGGTTCAGGGTCATTCACAGGCAGTGCGTTCAGCCTCGCCTGTCCACCATGGTCAGAGCATGTGGGCTGCGAGCATGGAGTGAAGACCCATGGCTGAAGCTGTTTGGCCCTGCGACTTGAAGAAGTCCCTGCATTGAATGGTGGCCAGCAATGCGTCAATGGCTACTGGCACAACTCACATCCTCCACACTTGAAATAAAACGCGCCAGAACGCGAACATGTGTGCATTTCAAACCCACTAGCGTTTGCAAAGTTTCAACTCAATGATTCTCCAATATGGTGCAAGACTATGTTGCAAGACTTCCCCCATCGCCTTGCATTTTTTCCCCTGCTATGCGTCGTGGGCGCCCGGTAGTGGTAGCTCTGTTGGGACTAGCTGTGGTGACCCTGCGAGCCAATCGAGACGAGTGGCTTTCTTTCGCACCTTGGCTGCGTTGGATGATCATTTCGTAAAGCTGAGCACGTGATGGGCCCTTTGGGCCTTTGGCCCTTTGACTCTGTATTTGTTGAGGCAACTCCACCAGCTGCGAAACCTGAACCTGGGGAGCTATTGCAGGTGGCGGTAGATTTGATAGACTGTGGCGAGAGAAGTACACATTTGCAAGACATTGCAAGACTGCTTCCAGCTTGGAGCCGTTTTTTTTCTTTACAGAGATAGCCCTTGGAATCCTTTCAGCTATTGTTCCCATCATCAAAACGTTGTAGATTTGAGCGTTGAATTGGACTTGCTTTTCAGGCCTTGGGGCGTGAACTCTGGGTAGTGGGTGATGGGCTGCTTACGCTGAGCTCCAAGGCCGATATGTGAACATGATTTGAACATGCGGGTTGTTGTTTTTTTTTTTTTTGGGGGGGGGTTATGACTCGGTTATGACAGTAAATCATGAGGTGCTTTCAGTTCATCCACTTTTTGTGGCAAGATGGCATTGTATACACTGCTTTGCTGCAGTGTGACCTTGATGCAAAGGTACGCTCCAGTAGCGCAGTGTCTTTGAGCAATGCCGGAATTTCCCTCAGAAATGCGGTTTCTCGCCTGGTACTAGCACTTGCGCCGGTTTTTCAAGCAAGTTGTCCAGGGATGAAACCAAATTTTGAGTTTAACTTTGACAATCCAAGTGATGGATATGATATCAGTTCCTAGTCGTGTTCAAACAAGCTTGTAGATGATGACCGAAGCTATCCATCGCTGTATGCGTGACACGTCATGACACCCTGAGGCTGACATGATGTGTGATGGCTCTTGGGAAGATGTTCAAGGAGAACTAGAAGGAGCTGCGGCTTCCTGCGAATCGTATCTGCCAGCCAATTGTTGGCAAGGTCTTATCAACCTTTTCGGCTACTATGAGGCGGTGCCAGAGTGCGAATGGTCCTCAGCGCGCAGTTCCTTAGGAAGTTTGGCCACTGCATTGGAACGCGTGGAGAAGGATCTCTTTGCATCCATCAGGTGTGCGGAGAGCAAGAACCTATCAGAATCCATCAGTGCTTGAATGCTGTCAACATATTTCCGAGTTTTCAAGTTGGGTATGCATGCAGGTGCATGCGCGTACAATCAAGACACTTCGTATAGATGTACGGTGAGCGTTCGGTTTTGGTGCATTGAATCCAACCATGCCCGAGACTCTCCGGATCATGTCTCGGTGCGCGAGCTCCCCTTCTCTCTGTCCCTCTTTACATGACACACACACACACATACCACCTATATTTGCACATTTCTTGCATTTGCCAGAAGTTTTGTCGTCAGGTTCGCGGATCAGGATTACATTGCAGAAACCAAACTTTACTACGACACTGTACTTGGAAAACTGCGCAGAGCCGGAGACCTGTTCATGCCAGGCAGATGGGTCCACATCTGACCAACTCTGAATCCGGAAACAAGCACTGTAAGGTCTGTAAGCTTTGATATGCGTTGATAAAAGAGGTACGGAATGGACATTCATTTTGGTACAGATTCCGGAAAAAACTCTTCAAGAGCATCCTGTGCTGTGTTCGTTTCTCACACGCTGTTGACGCGCAGACCCGGGCAAGGCAGCTTCTACCTACCGCCTGATCCACGTAGCGATGACATTAGAAGAGCAGATGCTGCACCTGGGAGACTCGAGGAGCGCTTCTTTGGTGGTTCGCGAAAGAGGCTCGGGTGGAACGGTTGAACTTCACAAAGAGTGTGAAACTGACATGAAACATATGAAACATATGAAACTGAATGGGAAAGTGGTCTAAGGGCATGTTGCAAGTTGATTGAGCTGATATAAGCTGATATTGTAGTTGGAGGGCAATTCTGTGTGATTGGTGAGCGGCTTTCTTATACAATGTGTCGTGTCAAACACTTGAACTGTCTGGACTCCTTGACTGACGGCCAACACGGACAGGTTTGAGGAATGGCAAGCAGGCACACAAGATCCATCCCTGAATCCCGATGGCTGCCGCGACAGAGCATGGCAAGACGCTCGTGCAATGGGGCAGGAGGCTGTGGATTTGCTGCTTGAGGTTGAAAAGGAGCTGGTGCCTTGACTTGATTTGAAAAAGATGCAACGTGAGAGAGAGGGAGAGAGGGAGAGAGGGAGAGAGGGAGAGAGGGAGAGAGGGAGGGAGACTCGGATATTTCGATCAGAAGTAAACCTCTTCTGGTGGTCTTGGAATTTTCTGTCTCGCTCACATTGTACTCACTGAGGAAGACGAGGAAGACCTGCGAAAACGTGGCCGTGTGCTGCGCAAGCTGCTGGTGAAGTTGCACCCGGACCAGAACCGGGGTCGGGAGAAGGTGTGGGCACCAAGGAGTCGTTGCCGAATTAGCCGAGCAAGTTGCAGGAGATCATAGGAGATCTACTAAGGTCTAAGAAACATCAGATTTTGTAGATATTTTAGGTTCTTGTTATCTGGATTATAGTTATTGTAAATATGTCAAGATTTTACGAAGATAGGTTGCATTGACTGAACTAATGTTGATCATGGTTCGCCCAGTTCATGGATGACGGATGAAAATTGGTGTTTGATCGGCCAGTTCTCAGGTCACTGCGCCTGTCTTCGAGTATGTACAGGCATTGAGAGCATCAGACATCTAATTGCTGATCTCAGAAATTCATTTCTGGAAGTCCTGAATGGATCCTTCAGTCTGTAGAGTGCATGGCTTGAGTTGGGCAAAGGCATCATAGCCAGTGCTCGAAATCTCTGCGTCGATTTTCCACCATTTTCGCTCAAGAGACTGGCAGATCGTTCGGACCGTCGCTAAAGCTATGGTTCTTCAGTTCTTCATTATTTTTGTTCTGGTGTTCCCAGCGGTTCGCCTTGAGCTAAAGCCCCTTTACGACTGCACAGGCTGAATTTTCATCCAGCCTCTCAGGACAGAAGTGTCACTTAGCCATACTCAGCCTTAGACCAAAGGAGCACAGATTGGAAAAAAGCCGCTGCAAGAGCTGTCAGATGGCAGCGAAATCCATTTGCAGAAAGATAATATAATTCTGTATCCAGTGTATATCCATAAATACATGTAAAATCATGTAAAGACGTATAGTTACTATACTATACATATCTACATAAAACATCATATAACTTATAACCATACAACATCATAAAACTAGCTTCTTATTATAATGTACGCAGTGTCGAAGGCAATTCTAGACACCATTTTTGGGCAGTTTCCCAGTGCGCTGATCAAAGCGGGCCAGGCTACCGTACAAGAAGCATCCTGGCCATTCCCATCATGTCAGAGGAAAACTCTCACGTCGTTGGTGTCATACAGATGATCAACAAGGCCTGTGGCATTGGTCAATGTTCAGGTAAATAGGCATTGAGGTGGTACTGTACGGTGCAGGTTTGTGGTTCAACCACATGTTTATTTGACCTTCTTTCGCAATTCACCGCGAAAGACTGATCTGATCATACCCACAGTCTTAGGATGGTTCAAAACCACCGGAAGTGAACCCGTGATCAAAGAAGCAAAATATCAATAAGAATCCTGGTTTGACAACCAAGAGAGAGATAGAGAGAGAGAGAGAAAGATGGTTTGACTTTACATATGATTTTACCAATGGCATTGGAGGCCTCCACTTTCGATACATCAAGTCAGACGTGTGATGACGTGTACCTCTAATCTAAACTGTCGTCGCTGGATGTCTTGATGAAAAGACCAGTTCAAATAGAGGATGTTGAACCGTCGTCGCTCGTAAACCTCACAGGGCCTGGCCTCCAAGAATTACACTGTTAGACCTGCACGGCTGCACGGTAGGTCTCATATGATGGCCAGCCAGAGCATTTTGACGAAGAAGATGTGGAGATCATGCAGCTGTTTGCATCTTTTGTTGGTCCAAAACTGACCCTCGACGGCATTGGGCATCAAGTCATTGAAAGTCTTCAACTAGAAGATCCAGAAACGACAAAGAGCGCTCAGTCCTTCAATGATTTGTGCACAGTTGTTTGCACGGCTTGCAGTCTGAGGACTTCTTCGATGCTATCGGTTCTTGTCTTACTAGTAGATTCAAGTAAATGCAGATGGCGACAGAAGTTTTGTCCCTTTGGTTTCGGACCTCCTTGACCAAGGCAAAAAAAAGCAGCAAGCGGGACGTGTCCGAGGGCCAAATGGCCCTTGGTACTGCCAAGTTCCCTGCTTTCTCTCATGGCAATCTTTCATTGTTTTCCAAAAAATTGTTTGAAATTTGAAGTGATAGGAAGTGGTTCCTACAAGCTGCTAGACGTTAGATGGCGCTGGAGCCAGAGAGAGAGAGAGAGATACAGCATACAGGGGATGCTGCCTATGTGTTCTAAGGCTTCCTCCATCTCCAAGCACGAAGAGTGCAACAAATCTTGGATCCTTTGCAGAGGGTGATGAGGAGGATGACTGAGGATGAAGGACACAAGCTTTGCCGCCTTAGAAGCCTTAGCCCGGGCCTTTCGCAGAGCTTGCACAAGCTAAAAGATAGAAAACCATGCAAAACCAACTTGCAAAACCAACGGTATAGCCAGGCACCCAGGAAAATAAGATCAGTAAACTCGTTAAGGTTGGTGAAGACAACCTGATTTTTTTTTCAAAGGCTCCCTTGTTGGTGTGGGAAATTAGTAGCTCGATCTCTTGGATCTGGGGCAAAGCCTCGATCTCCCTGTATCATCTAGGTGTCACGGTCTCACCGCGTGGAAAAAAACGACCTTGGGATGGTGGGATCCAAGAAGTGACAAGTGGTCACTGTGGTCACTGACAGTGGCAGGGAAACCAGGTGATTTGATGTTCCAGGAACAGGAATGCAGGAAGACATGGGGCTGACATAGGGCTTACCACGTCTTGGTTGAAGCTTCACCCTGTGAGACCTGTGAGATTCAAGGAGAACTTTGCTCGCTTCTACACGGCCGGGGTGGTGATGGCTTTCGAGCACCTCCACGGAATCTTGTTGAAAGAAAGTCATAGAAAGTCAATAGATTCAATAGTCTGTGTTTGCATGTTACTCGATGTGGGTAAGGATGTAAGAATGTACTGAGCATGGCAGAACCATGATGCTCTCAGGAAAGAAGATCCTCTACAGAGACTTGAAGCCGGAGCGAAGCCTTCAACTGCAGTCTGGTCCAGATCACAAGCCAAACGGTTTTTGCTGAGCAGATGGCCATAAAAAGAAAGGATATGTAACATGATATGTAGCAGTACTGTCCCAGAGTACATAGCAGTTCTAAATTCTCAGAGGCCTTTCCCAGTCCTGTCGAGTGTTTGGCTCGAATCTCAACCCAACAAAGGGCAGATGCGTCATGGCATTGGCAGGGCTGAGCGAGGAGCTCGCCTACAAGCTCCGTACAGCCCAACCAAAGGCGAAACAAAAGGCTAAGAAGATTGATGCCTATAGTCAAGTGCAACTGGATTCTGAGGTCACTGACCAACAGCTCATAGCACGGCTGGCCAGCTTGGCTCCTTTGATCCATGCTTCTACTGTCGCTTGCAAGAGTCTACAGCAGCTGGGGGAGGGCTTTCAACGTAGCACCAGGAGTATCGGAGCTGATGCTGTTTTCCTGAGGCAGCTGGAAGACAAAGATCCGCCCATGGCTGCAGCCAGCAAGGGTATGATCGATGCCTTTGGTGACTTTGGCGACCTGTTCTTGGAGCTCTCAAAGCAGCTTCGAAAAGATATTCTGTCACCCATGGAGGCCATTCAAAACAATTTGAAGGAGGCTTGTATGGACGAACGGATTCAGATCAAAGAACTGGAGCAGCAAGAAACCCTTTGTTCTCAAGCAGTTCAGGAGATTAGCCGCCGAAAAGAAAAAGCCAACGCGGAGCTCCAAGCAGCTGCGAAGGCTGAAGGTAGGAAGGGCTGGTTCCGGTCGACTGGTAGCAGCGCTCGGGTGGAAGAGATTGCTGCCATGCAAACTGCTATAGTGGAGGAACTTGCCTCCAAAATTGATCAGGAAGCTGCAGTGAGGCGCAGAAAGGAGCAATGCCTCCAGGGCTTCAAAACTGCTTTGCAGCAATTGGACAAGACCTGCGTGAGTCATTTGGAGAAGCTCTCCGAAGATCTCAACTCAATGTGGATAAAGGTAGGACAGCGCGTTGAGAGCATTGGGGGAACATGGAAAGGTCCCAGTCCTGCCAACCGGGTTCTCCGACCTTATCTGCCTCCACATCGGGCAGGAGCTGCTGTTGCCGATCAAGCATCCCGTCAAACATCACCCAGTACAGGCAGAGGGATTGCGACTGACATGACCACCAACAGGATAGAGTTGCAGGAAGTGTCGTCACATGCTTCACCCAAGGCATCGTCTGCCACCAGAGAGTCGAGTGAAAGTGACCTCCAAGCTGATGTGGAGGAGACTGAAAGATCTGAAAGCAAAGAACACTTTCACATCTACGTGGCTCCTGCCGAGAGCCTGGCACCCATCAGCGTCACGTCTCCGACGGCAGAGGCCGACCGCGCAGACCGCGCAGACCGCCTGGACCGCGTGGACCGCGTGGACCGCGTGGACCGGCCGGAGGAGCTGAAGGTGAAGGAACCGAAGGAACCGAAGGAACTGAAGGAACCGAAGGAACCGAAGGAACCGAAGGAACCGAAGGCCTCGATGTCGACGCCACAGACGCTACAGTTTGGTGAGCATGTGCGCAAGCTGGGCTTTGAGGTCCGGAGCCAGAACTCATTGGGATCGTTGGGGGGGATTGCACCAAAAGATTTTCCAGCACATGTCGCTGTGGCCGAGATAGTCACATCTGTAGGCAAAACGCTCGAAACAATGTAGGTAGTGAAGGAGCTGGCTGTGTTTCCAAAGGCCGATATAGACAAGAGTTAAGACAGTTAAGGGATCTCGGAGTGACTAGAGCCAAACCATGGCAGGTGCTGTGGGAGTCTGAGCGACCCTCTGTGGGTGTTGTCAATCCAAGTGGCGAAGCCGAGAGACTGGGCATTTCAACTGGCAGCGTTCTTCGGCAAAATCCTAGCTTCAAGCCCAAACAGCATGCTGGCCATCCTCAGAAAACTGAGACCAGTTCAATCAATGCGAATTAAGAAATTGATATAATTTGTGGAAACTTGTTGAATCAACTGTTGAATTGTGTTCTTCATCATACTGTCATACTGAGTCACAATACGGTACAAGTTGTACCAGGCTTCAGCATCTTCCAGCTGAGGTTCTCCTGGAGATCAATGGTGCTCCGACTTTGGGTCGTCCAAGGGATGAATTGATGCCGCTGCTGAAGCTCAGGCCGTTGGAGCTGCGAGTCTTGCCGCCGAAGCCGTCGGAGCAGAACTGAAGGGCTGCAGGGCTGCACGAAGATCACGAAGCTGGTTGTGGAATGTTGTGGAATGTTGTGGATGGTGTTGTGGTTGGTGTTGTGGTTGGTGGATGGTTGGTGGATTTTTGTGGTGCAACCATGTACGGCACTGCAGAGCGAAGCGGGGAACACGAGGAACTCACCTCGGAAGCTCCGCTTGTCGTTTGAGGCTAGCTCATACGCCCCTTTGAACCGCTCTGTATAACGCGCAGGGAGCGGCAATCCTCTTTGCTTTTATTGTTGAATTCAGCGGCTAGAATGTCCAAAGATGGCCGACAATTCGCTGCCATTTGGATGCAGTGCGGCAATGAACTGATGAAGAGCATCATGTATCTGGCCCAGTCATGAACAGAGAGCTGGGCTGAATGAGGAAGTTGAAATCGCATTGCTCCGGAGTGTATCATGCTCTCCTGCCACTGGTGAGTAGCCACTCTTGCTTTCACAGTGCCTGGTGTTGCTGCTAGTGCTGCAGGCGGATGCAGTAGATTACCATACAGATCCAGACGCTAATAGAGATCAGAGAGACATGGACCCACCCCAGCTCTCGCGGAGGGTGTCTTTCCGTGAGGAGAACCTCTTGCTCGATAACAAGGGCAATGTGAAGCTAACTGACATGGGTCTCGCGAAGGCCGCAAAACTGTTTGCAGTTTCACATCACACATAGATTCACATAGGACAACATGGTTTCGGCACTGGGTATATAATACAAGGCTGAAGATTCCAGAGCACTCGTCCCTCATGAGGTCTGCATTTTCTTTGGGCAATTTCACTTTTCAATACCGCAGGTTTGCATTGGCAAAGCGTATACCGCTTGTGGAACGCCCGACTACTTCGCACCCGAGTTGATCGCTTCCACAGGTGAGATAAACCCTGTTGACAGAACCGATCAGAACCACTGGCTGTGGGATGCTGTGGGATGCTGTGGGATGCTGAGGCCATAACCTCGCCGTTGACTGGTGGACCTTGGGTATTTTTACCTTTGAGCTGCTGAGCAGAGCTGGCCAGTTTAGCTGCTTAGCCGGCTTAGGATGATGCAGGATGATGCAGGACCTACCTCCAACAATGTTAACATGCTTTTAGTATCTTTTGGTATCTTTTGGTTATCTTTGGTTCATCTCCGGAGCTCAGAACTTCCTCATTCCCTGCATAGCAGGTGGCCATCCGCCCTTCGAATCCTCATACCCGATGCAGTAAGAATCTGAGAATGCGTCGGTGCATACTTTAGTGCAGTTGGCGGGTCTAATTTCGACACAAGAAGGTGTGAAACTAGGTACATGTGCAAATGTGCATGCATGATGTGCACGCACACACACACACACATGAATATATATATATATACACACACACATATATATATATATTATATTATATATTATAGTATATTATACTATATTATATTATATTATGTTGTATTATATTATATTATATTATGTTATATTATGTTATATTATATTAAATTATCTCATACTTTATTATATTAAATTATATCATATCATATTATATTTATATTATATCATATTATTATCATATTATGTGTATATATATATATATACACACGCACATATTATATATACATAACTATAGTTTGATAATGTGTATATATAATCATAATAAATACTATTAAGTATAATATATTATTTTGAATGGATATCGATTTGTATCCTTTTGACAGCATCTGTAGTGGTATTTGACCAGAGGCCACGTCAGGGAGCGCAAGAACTGCCAAGGACCTATCAGAAGATCATGCGAGGCATTAACAAGGTGGGCCAAGACATGGTCGTTTTGGTTCTGAGAGTCCTGGTTCTGCTGGTTCTGCTGGTTCTGGTTACCTTGGTGATCCCACCTGCAGGTTGCATTTCCTCCAAAGTGCAAAGGATCTGCGGAGGACTGGCTGAGGAAGTCCTGTGACGGATCCTTTTCTCCACTGTCCTGAAACGGCTTATCAGTTCAGGTTCCCAGAATCTATCAAACATGTCAAACATCCACATTTTTTTCGAAAAACAACTATTGCATTCTTATCTATTGTTTGTGGACGCAGCTCTGCACAGATGAGCCACGACTGAACTATTCGTAGCAGGACTTAATCAAGGCTTTGTGCAAGTCGGAGCCGTCTGAACGGTTGCCGCTGAAGAAAGGTGGGACCAGAAATCTCAAAACGCTGCTCGGCAGCAAAATCGTTAGAGATATCTTGGAGATCCTCTCGAGTTCCTCTGAGTGTGCTTGGCTGGTTCTGATTCACCCCATCTTTGCCTTGCTGAATGACTTGCAGCCAAGGCACCCGTTCTACAAGAACTTTGATTGGGAAGCCCTCCAAACCTTGAAGTGGTAGCCTGAAATGGAATTGCAAGACAGTCCAGCTGAAATTCAGTCTTTGTGGAAGGAGCGCTTGTCAGCAAAGCCTTTGGTGTTGAGCTATGGCAGTCACATGTGCTGTATGAAAAGCTACGGCTTGCACCCCTCATTCCTGAAGGCATTTTGCTCTCAGCCCAGCCTGCGTCAAAGCCATGACCAGAAAGAAGACGGGCGGAGGTTTGGGAAACTCCCTCACCAATGACCGAAGAAAACGAGGGGCACAACAAGCAGGCTACAATGCCAGTGGCGTGGCAGAAGGCCAGGCACAACGATCTGTTTTAGAGCAGAGTTCCCTCGATGATTTTATCGCAAAGGCTGAGTGGCTTGGTCGCAATTTAGAGGGCAGATCCGTGAGATCGATTGACACTGCAGGTCAAAGCGCGAAGCTTTGGCCAATAGAAAAACATCTGAAAACACCTTACAGCATACAAGCACATGCTTGGAACTGACATCAGCATGTGCACATGACATCATACAAGCGCTAGCGTTAAGTCGTATCAGCTCGTAAAAGTCGTATCGGGAGGCCGTGCGCCTGGAAAAAGTTCAATTTTGGCGTCACCACAACTTTTAGTAGTGATTGAGTGATTTCATTGTTTGAGGGCCGTGCGCTTGGAAAAAGTTCAATTTTCGTTTCAATTTTTATTGCGGCAAGTTTTAGTACTTATAATTAATCATTCATTCAAGGGGCATACGCTGGTTGCTGCTGCTTGCTTGCTGCTTGCTTGCTTGCTTGCTGGCTGGCTGGCTGGCTTGCTTTGCTTGCTTGCTTGCTTGGCTTTGCTTTGCTTGGCTTGGCTTTGCTTGCTTGCTTGCTGGCTGGCTGGCTGGCTTGCTTGCTTGCTTGCTTGCTTCTTTGCTTGCTTCTTTGCTTGCTTCTTTGCTTGCTTCTTTGCTTGCTTCATTGCTTGCTTCTTTGCTTGCTTCTTTGCTTGCTTCTTTGCTTGCTTCTTTGCTTGCTTCTTTGCTTGCTTCTTTGCTTGCTTCTTTGCTTGCTTCTTTGCTTGCTTCTTTGCTTGCTTCTTTGCTTGCTTCTTTGCTTGCTTCTTTGCTTGCTTGCTTCCTTGCTTTCCTGCCTGCCTGCCTGCCTGCCTGCCTGCCTGCCTGCTGCTGCTGCTTGCCTGCTGCTTGCCTGCTGCTTCTTGCCTGCTGCTGCTTGCCTGCTGTGTCATGGTGATTCTTCTTCCCTGATGTGACTTTCCACTACCTGATGTGACTTTTCTGTATCGCCGCTGTGACATGGGGATGATGTGGCTTTTCCCGCCTGATGTGACTTAAGTACGGTGCTTGTATGATTCCATATGACAAGGTTCTTTGCTGGTCAAAGTGGGTCTCAAAGTCTCAAGATAGGTCCGAATTTAAAGTTGTTGCTTTTGCATGCTTTTGTTGTTTCGGTGCTGCATGTTGATCACAGGATAATCCAACCTCAGGATGCTATCACGTGTCAACATGCTCAGACTCCATTCCCTCAACCATGCCCTGAGAAACAGACTCCTTGTATCTCAATACATCTCAGAATAATAGGGTCACTGCCATCCAAAACCTTCCGCTGCAGCACAGCTAAACCATGATAATTCGGAAACAAAACATAACACAACTATAGATACTGAGGCCCTTCTCACTCGAGGTCATAGCACAGCATTCTTGAAATTCTTGCCATCTGCAAGAGTCTGGATTTCATCTCTGCATTCTGCTATTTTTTTACCAATGCATTCGACCTTTTCAAGGCTGGCGCGGGCAGACTTCCAATCAACCCGGGGCGTGACCGTCGAGTGCACGACAGAAGCTGGGTGATGGTTAAAGTCTGCCACAGAATCCTTGGATAAAGCATGATTCGGTAGAACGGGTAGAGTAGTGCATGGAACCATCGAATATATGGTATTATATGGTATAGGTTGGTGGGCTCTGCGACATCCTGGAATCAAACTGTACATTTGTTTTGTGTGAGGCAAACTTGGTGCCATTTGCTTTTGAGCCCCCAAGATTACACCTGGGCGTGAAATACATCAAACTTCCACGATGGTCTATCCCGGCTGATGCTGAGGAGGTCATTGTCAAGTCCGGCATGGATCCCGCAGAAACCCGAGAAAAAGAAATTGCTGCGAGGAAGGTCGTGGTGCCCATTCCTTGGAGGCCTTCCTGGAAAGAGGCGACACGAGATTTCAGAGCAATATCTGATATGGAAAATGATGAACATGCATGAAAATGCAAGAAGTCAGTCTGGATAGAGTCTAGTTCATTCTTCCATATTCTTCCATTTCAGGCTGCCAACGGAGATGAATTGGCGGCGGCTGAGGGTCAAGCTTTTCTATCCTGGAGGCATGGTTGGAATTTTATATAGATGGATCCTTGATGGTTGTGAGTTTCTTTATGCAGCTTTGCAGCAGCTTTATTATGTTTGGGGGATGAAAACATATTGACGAAAATGCTCGATATCACAGGCGCGGCTTGGCGAAGATGGAGGAGGAGGATGGGATGATTTTGACGCCGTACGAGCGCAACTTGGAATTTTGGCGCCAGCTCTGGAGGTGTGTCGAGCGCAGCGATGTCTTGGTTCAGATTCTGGATGCCCGTGACCCGGAGTTTTACCGGTGCAAAGATTTGGAGCGATATATCGAACAGTTCCCTGGGAAGCGTCACTTGCTGCTGCTCAACAAGGTGCCATTCACGACGCCACAACATGTATCAACATGTGGTCTTTTTCTTTTGTTTTTCCAAGTTCCAGCCCCTGGCCCTCAAAACTGAACGTCTGATCTCTTTCTTTGGGTGACCTTTGCATTGCAAGGCGGATTTCCTCTCAGATCATCAACGTGAGACCTGGGCGGCATACCTTTCAGAGCTTGGCGTTGAAGCAATTTTCTTCTCAGCTCTCAGAGAGCTTCACCGACAGCAACGAGCCCCGGCGGATGATGAGCAGAGTGAAGCAGAATCTGAAGAGGAAATTGACGAGTCAAGTGACTCAAGTGAAGGTCACAGTCCAAGCCACCCAAGCCACCCGAGCCACCCAAGTTCCAAACGACTTCCGCCACATGGTTCTCTTGAGGATAGTGGAGATGTGGTGGACTGCTCTAAACTCATAGAGGAGCTTCAGAGTCGAATGCCTGCAGGACGACGCGGTGTTGTGGGCTTTGTGGGATATCCCAATGTCGGAAAGAGCTCGGTGATCAATGCGCTCTTCGGAGCAAAGAAGGTCTCCATGAGCCGGACACCAGGGAAAACAAAACATTTACAGACCTTGGAACTGGCTGATTCAAACATCACTCTCTGTGACTGTCCGGGCCTTGTCTTTCCGTCCATTGTTGCGACCCGATCTCATTTGGTCATCAATGGCACGGTTCCCTTGGATGAGCTGAAGGATTTTGTGGACCCCGTCCGGCTGATCGTCGCAAAGCTTGGACCTGAGCCTATCTTGAAGAAATACGGCGTGAGTGCCGCAGAAGTGAAGGATGGAGCCATTCGAAGAGGCGTCGGGGAGGCTTCTGACGAGATGGCCCACCAGGCACGAGGGAATGGACTATCATAAGGTCACAACTGTAGACATTGGCCAGTATTGTCACACAGGTTAGGGTCTGTGATTTGGAGGGTGGATGTAATTGCTAAACTCTGTTAAACTCACGCTCACGTTCGAGTCAAACCACATCCTGCCGGCGCTATGCTGAACATTGCCTCCACCAGCCACAGCTGCCCGAGCTGTCCCAGCTCCAGGTGCTTTGCGGCTTGGCAACTCATCGCCACCATTTTCTTCGGGTCGGCGTGCCTGATGAGACCTGGGCCGCCCGACGGATCTTGAAGGACTACTGCACGGGACAGCTGCTGCATTGCGAGCTGCCCGAAGGTGCAGGCGCACCACACGCGCCACAGCCATCTCAAGATATTTCAAGATATGCCATGCACTAAACATGAGACTTCCGTGAGGCACAGAGCCAATCACAAGGATGAAGCGGCTGAAACATGAAAACTATAAATCATATGGAAAGATATGAAAAAATATGAAAAGATATGACAAGTATAGAGAGCCTAGAGTCATCACAAGACTACCCAGAGACTCATCGCAAGAATTCACATTCGACTCCTGCTGAATGGGACGTATGAGCAAGAATTTCGATCGCCTACTCAAGATGGTCATTCTACATCAAGCGATGTCATGCTTCAAAAACCTTTGTACAGAAGAGCATCTGCTTGGCATGTTCATCACCTTCAGTTCTAGCCACCACACACGTTCGAAGCCTTCGCACGTCAGTTCTCAGCTTCCCAAGGCCATCACAAGCCCAAAGAAAGTCTAAGTGGGGAGTCTGATTCAGACTTCAGCGATCTTGACCAGTTCCTGGATGACAGCAGCATCCGTGAGCGACGGATTACGAAGCGCAAGATGCGTCATTTGCAGAAGCAAATGGTGACTTGGATGCGATACGAACCTTCTCAAACTAGACAGAAACTAGATGTAACATGATGTAACGAGTGCTCAAACAGAGGAGACATGAGGAGACTACTCTTCACTTTGCCCAGAACAAAACTGACACTTCGCTGAAGACATAGCCCTTTCCTGAGGCCAAAGGCGGTGTCATAGCTCCTCAAGCTTTGGAAAAGGACCGCAAAGCCAAATACGTTGGAAAGAACATCCGTGGGAAGACAGTGCTGGGCTGACAATAAGACCCGTGCCATCTTCTCACATGCTGTTGCTTGTGCAAATCTTGATGATATTTATAGCCTCTGATTGTAGTGTTGCCACCATCCCAGTTGGACAAGCGCAGCGACATGAGTTTCACTCGACGCTTTCAAATTTGAAAGTTGTGCAAAGAGAGCCAGGATGCCACCTTTCAGCCCTGGGATCTTGAAATCTTGGGCGCGTGGTTGTGCCTGAGTGGAAACACTCGCACGAAAAAGACCGTATGCAAGTCGAGCTGTATCTTTGGTCCCTCATTTTTTACGCAACGGACCATGCAGTTATTTGGCTCCTCAATTTCGATTTTGACCCACGTTCATATTTCATCATATTTCATCATATTTCATGCAAGTGTTGAAATCAATTTTGGGGAGGATAGGATGGATAGGATTCGACTCGATTCGAATACACACCTCTCGACAGCTTGTTCAAGATATTCATCAGTTCCTGATCACCTTTCACATTTTTTTCAACGAGGTTACTTGACTATTGTGGCCGCATACTCTCCCTGTGCTCAGGATGCCTGCTCCATACCAACCTTCTGTGACAAGCAAACGGGTTGGGTGCTCAGCCTTCTGTTTTGTACCAGGCAAAGCACCACAGGAAAAACATGGAAGAACAATCTGAGGAATCTGTATCTTATTGCTATCAAATTGAATTGTGCTCCCGTTTCGCTGTTTTTTGGGTCAGGATCTCTCAAACTTCACGCAAGCGAAAGAGATGCCACCTTCCATTGCGTACGAGGAGCCGCATTTTGCTCAACCTGAATTGTGGTCCAACTGCGCGGTTGTGGTTTGAATGTGATGCGTCTGATTTTTGATTCTTTCGAGTCTGCTTCTGTTTGGGCTCCAAACCAGAAATAACAAGACCAGACTATCGACTGGTGCTGTGTTGTCAGGATGACAAGTCGAACTGGGAGAAAGATTTCGCTACATGCTCCTGAGATGCTCGAGGGTTAGGTTAGGAACAGAAACGGTTTGGCTTTAAGACTCTTGAAGCAGCATGCAGTTCCTGTTGGTTCATAGCATGATGATCTGCTCAAGAGATCTCCAGAGCCAGTGATCCAAGTGTTCCAATGCCAGGCATTGTCTCACCCAAAGTTTTACAGTCAAATCATGTCAAATCACACTGAGAACCATGGCCCTTTCAACTTTTGTAGGATTTGGCAAATCTTGTGCTTTTCAGAATGGGATTTTTCGTCACACGGTTTGACTCTCGGTTTGTATTGTATTTATCTGTGCGCCGATCCAAATTTTCAAGTTGCCCCGTATCGTGCGGTGAACATAAAGATACTAAAGATACCTCAAAATCCTCAACGATTTCCATCATCTTTGCGGGGACAGAGCCGTTTGGAGGCGCACGCCTCAACGTCCAGGCAGCACCTGAAGAATCCCTCCTTGCAAAGCAAGGCAAAGACTCCGAGCCTCTGAACAAAAACCGCAAAGATACAGCATTTGATTGTTCTAAAGTTCTAACATGTTATAACACTGTGTTTTATATAGATATGATTGATTATATGGATTCTTCTCGATTATTTGATGTTGGTTGAGAAGATTGGGAAGGTCCTTGCACATGCCCTGCGAAGCCTATGCCCAGGAGTGCTGCTCACCCTCGCAGCTGTTTGTGCATCTGAGAAATCAACAGCCCCCCGGGCCTAGCATTGGACCAACATCTAACTGATCTATATAACTTAACTGTTATTCCTTGGTCAGCTCTGCCAGTTGACTTTGCCCACGGGTCGCCATTTCCAAGCCCCGTAACCACAGCCACTGTGGAGCCATGAGTCGCACTATGCCGATGGCAGTGCAGTCATCTATACCGTGACTCGTCCGATGCGAAAGGGGCAGATTTGACAAGAGGCATAGTGCAATTTGCCAGGCATGTCTTGGAGGAATTCACCGGAATGAAGTGGAGTGGACAGGGAACAAATATGATTAGATGAATCCTCGATTGCAGTCACTTGACCTTTCCGGTTGCCAAGGAGATGGAATTGGGGTCCAGCTTTGATGCCTTTCATTGGCGACCTGGCAGAAGCGCCAGTAGTACTGGGATAGTTGCTAGTGACAGTATATGATTACAGTAGACGATGTTAAATGATCTCTTAGACTTTCTTAGACCATGGGTTTGCCAGCCTCAGGACACAAACAAACCAGACACGGTATAGAATGGTATACCGTAGCTATCCGTAGCTCAAGCATACTCAGACGGGTTTTCACCAACTTCAGGCGTGGCCCTGATTCTGTTCAAGACTTTGGTCATCATTTGTGGCCTCCAGCTGCTTCGGTATGCTGTACTGGTCGATCAACGAGAACGTCTTAAGCAGTCTGGCTGCAGACCGATCAGACCGGGCAGGTGAGTCCATTGAAGCGACAGATGGGTGACAGGCAGAGTTCGTAGAGTACGATTTCAGGTCGAGCAGCTTGATCTCTGCATTGCTGAGGTTTAGACTTCTTGGCTTATCGATGGCAATGGCTATAGGTCCTCTCGCAGAAGTTTCTGCCTATGCTTTTGCCCCGCAATCCCTCCTAGCACCTTTGGATGGCTTTGATGTCATTTGGAACATTTTGCCGCAGCCTGAGCTTGCACAAAGAAAGTTAATTGTGTTAATTTTGACAAGAACATCTGACAGCCTGAAGCCAAGCAGCTGCTTCTTCCTGTGCTTGCTGTGTTGTCGGATGCAGTGAAATCACTTTGCAAGGCTTGCACCCTACACTTTGGGTGAGAGCATCACTAGTGCGAAGGTGATGGGCACAGGCGTGTGAGTCACCCTGGAAAGCCCTGACTTCAGTAGGACAGGGGACACGTTCAAGATGTCCCTGGCAGGCCTGGTATTTGCTGGCGCAGTGTCCGCTCCCATGTTTGGACCTCACCACAAACCACCAGAACCTTGGCTTCGTGAGCCTCTGGCCTCGGACATTGACCGAGCCAGCAACTAACCGAGTACGTCCGAGTCAGCAACCAAGAACGTCCGAGTCAGCAACCTAAAAAAGACTTTTTCAGCAACCAGAAATTTTCAAGAATGGCGCACAAACACTAGCACACATACACGTTGAACCAGGGGTGGGGTGGGGGGGTGGCGTGGGGTGGGGTGGGATGTTAACGTTCCCTGGCACTTCCACATCAAGAATGGCGCACAAGCACTAGCACACATACACGTTGAACCAGGGGTGGGGTGAGAGGTGACAATAACGTTCTGGCCCTTTGGTGCGAGGCACAGGCTCTGATTGAAAGGATCTGTTCTCCTCTAAAATAAAGGCACAGAACCAATTCAATGCTCCTGTCTCCTTTAAAAAAGAGGTGCAACTGCTATTCCAGAGACCACCGTTCTTCATTACAAGAAAGAAAACCATAGAGATTGCGTTCTCTTCTGCGCAGCTCAGCTTCCAAAGGCCCCTTTCTCTTCTGAAATGAAGGTGCAGCTCTATTCCAGAGACCCCGTTCTCCTTTTAGATAGAGGCACAACTCCAATTCAAGGCCCCAGAGACTACAATTCTTCTTTCTTTTAGGAACAAAGCCTTGATTCGGACTTGCGCCTCTAGTTGAGAGTTGCGCCTCTATTTTAGAGGAGAACGGAGCCTTGCAACGGAGCTACTGCCTCTATTTTAGAGCAGAGCGGAGTCTCTGGAGTAGTAGCTGTTCCTTTATTTTAGAGGAAGATGGAGTGCCTCAATTTTAGAGGATAACAGAGGCTCTGGAATAGGAGTTGCCGCCTCTATTTTAGAGGACAGCGGAGTCTCTGAAAATCTAAACTTTGCATCCGTTTTACTTGCCAAATATGTTTCTTTTTTGGTTGCCGACCCCGCGCTTTCTTAATTGCCGACTCATAGTTGCCGACTCAGCCCTTTTGGTTGCCGACTCAGACCGCGACCCTCTGGCCTCAGGCCAAGTTTGAATTTTAAATTGAACATTTCAATGGCATCCTGTGCTTGTGTGCCAAAGGTCGTGCCTTTACATGCTCCGACGAGAGCAAGATGGTAAAAATTGGGAAGAGAACGCCGTAGAAAACACTGAATGATATTGAAGCTTTATGGGTGGCTGCTATATTTGGCTCGGTGCCCCTGTGGTAAAACTGAGGAGACAATGTACTCCTTGCGCAACAAGTTCCTGAGCAAGAACTTTCTAGGGCATCTTGGACACCAAACATGATGTGCACACGAACAAACATGATGTGCGCATTGCCTAAAACTTCCACGGGCAAGTCCCCGTGTTTTGCTGGCCCACTTACACAGAAATGTTGCACCTAGGTGGGCTTTGGTGCCGGGCTCAGTGGGACAAGAGGACAGGGATGGATCCAACCAACAACAAGTCCATTTTCTACTGGTGTTCCTTGCAAACAGCACCTGGCAAGAGAATCTGAGATCCATATTTTCAGACGTGATTTGCAGGACTGATTTGATTCAAGCAGGTGCTTGAACTGCCGTGATTAAACAAATCAAACAAAGCAGGCTTGCTGCAGCTTGCTTTTGAGGTTTGCATCGCCCTGGCAATCTTCGCTTACTTGGCGCTGCCGCCAAAAAATAGCCATAGCAGTGCTCGCGCACCTGCAATGCGAGGGCTCATTCTCGCGATGAGCGGTGGTTTTGTAGTGCCTTGGGAAGAAAAAACTTGGGGCAGCTACACTTTCAAATGTGTTTGGAACCCTGCTTTGTTTGGTACTGGCCTCTTCATGCCTTTTGAATCCTTTTGATGTTTGCTCTCGCAATAAAAAGTTCAAGAGCTACTTTGAGCCTCCTTCGATTCAACTCCCGGCCCAGGCTGGGCAACGATTCTTTCTGTCATCCACCGCTACTGTGCTTCACACATCTTTTGACGAGGCAAGATCATAGCCAAGTCATCGGTCACATGTCGTCACGCACAGACCCTGCAGATGTACGAAGCCGGACGCTGCAAGTACCGCAAGTGTCAAACACTGAGGGCAACTGGGATTTGTGGTCATCTCCTCTTGCCTACTTTATAGTTGGAGGCGCCTGCAGGGCTTGTAATTTGTTGCCTTTGCATGCCCTTTGCTGGGTGTCAGAGGCTAATTTCAGAGGCAAATTTGTGCAATTGGCACTTGTTTTGTGATGACCCTGGATGACCTGGGAAGGAATGTTCTTTGTTGCGATCACGAATGCAATTCTGCTGAACAAAGGGCTGGCTGAGTTCGAGGCAATGCCTCTTGGCGAAAAAGGATTGCCTCATCAACATGTCAGAGATTTCAGTGAGCAAGTTGCCTGTGGCTTGGGGCGGCGACAGAGATGAGTTCCCAAGAATGTATATGACGCAACAACGGGTTTCAGAGCATTCCACGACCACCAAGGTTTATGATTCCAACCTTTGTTGGCATCTATGCTGCAAATGATCCAAAGATTTCAAATACATTCAGATAGACATGAAAAGGTGCTAGTTGTGGTCAGTCAATTGAGCAGCGGTCGATAGACATTTCAGGCACCTCGATCATCACAACCAGTGTGTCAGCAGCGGTGATTCTGAAAGAAACAGCATGGCTGGCATGGTGGAGGCTCCGAGCTTTGAAAATGACAAACATATACAAACATGACAAAAATGAGTCAATGACGGTCAGAAGGAGCTTTGAAATTCAAAGAAATTCAAACTACAACCAATTTCTGAATTCATTGCAGACGTGTGCAGGCTGACTTGGGTCTTCAATCTTCTTCAATGCTATTGTCCAGAAAAGATGTCATCCAAAGGGGTTTGACACGACTCTGTGTGTGTGTGTACATTGCTAATAACATGCAGTCTAAATATTGATTTGGCAGGGGAGTGCGGCATGATTGTGGGACCGCACTCAACGAAGCTACCACAATCATGGGATACTGGGTCTGATCAACCCAGCGTACCTGCATCAGAGGATAGCAACCGGCTAAGCTGAGAACCGGAAACTAAGTAACTTTGATATAGCATCCGGCTAAGTTGAGAATCGGAATTCATTTTTCACATTTCATAATTCATGCCTCATGTCTCAGGATCCGTTTCAGGCCCTCTATTCAGGAATTGGTGGTGCTCTTTTACTTCACCTCACTACGATCGAATCTATATATCCCACAGTGTGTTTTGGGTACTTTACCTCACTTGGTAGTACCGTCTGTCCGTTTCGACGGATATGAAAGTTATGACCGGGCATTTTCCCGGCTGCAGAGTGGGATGTCGCCAACATCCTGAAGTCCCCTTTGCATATTACATGCAAAAGAAGTAGACAATGTCAAGGTGGACATTGAAGTTCGTTCAACACATATTGACAGCCATAAGGCGAAGTTTAGCCCAATTGGCGAAGTACCCACAAGGGAGAAGTTGTCACATGACGAAGTACTCTGAATGCGCACTTCTACCAGTACATGTGGTTGGAGTCTCAGTAGCATTTTCACCTCACTCGTCATCGTCATCAGGTTCTTTTTAGGCTATGTATTCATTCTTTTCGGCAGGCTCCTTAGGTTTGTTTTTCCAGGTATAGAACATGTTTAACGTTTTGTTTCTCACTTCACTCGTCATCGTCATCAGGTTCTTTTGAGGCCATGTATTCATTCTCTTAGGCAGGCTCCTTAGGTCAGACTTACTAGGTATAGAACATGGTTCAACGTTTTAATTCTCACATCACTCATCATCGTCATCAGGTTCTGTTGAGGCTATGTATTCACTCTCTTAGGCAGGCTCCTTAGGTTTCTGGAAACCATGGAGATGTGGTTTGATTTGACAGATCAAATGGCAGTCATGGGTGTCACTTGAACCAAAGAAAACCACACGTTAAGTTCATTCCCCAGTGAGCAGACCCGAATATCTTCCCTGGAGAGGCATTTGAGGAAACTGGCCGATTCAGTTGGAAAATTCTGTTGTTGCAACCCTGCCCTTGTTGCGTTGAAAGTAATTATTGCTTTTCACATCACTCGTCATCGTCATCAGGTTCTTTTAGGCCAGGTATTCATTCTCTTAGGCAGGCTCTTTAGGTCAGTTTTCTTAGGTAAAAACTATAGGCAGTTTGCGGTTTTGCCCCATTTACTGATCTGCCTCCCATATTGAGAGGCGATGTGTGTGTGTGTACACTGCTAATAACACGCAGTCTAAATATTGATTTGGCAGGGGAGCGCGGCATGATTGTGGGACCGCACTCAACGAAGCTACCACAATCATGGGATACTGGGTCTGATCAACCCAGCGTACCTGCATCAGAGGATAGCAACCGGCTAAGCTGAGAACCGGAAACTAAGTAACTTTGATATAGCATCCGGCTAAGTTGAGAATCGGAATTCATTTTTCACATTTCATAATTCATGCCTCATGTCTCAGGATCCGTTTCAGGCCCTCTATTCAGGAATTGGTGGTGCTCTTTTACTTCACCTCACTACGATCGAATCTATATATCCCACAGTGTGTGTGTTCGTGCATTTGGGAGTGCAGGCTGCTTGGATACTGGTTCGGCATTTTGCTGGTGGTCTCTGGCTTGGTGATTATTGCCAAGGACCGAGAATGATGATTGATGTCTTTGATTTCTCTGGATCATTGCCAGTTCACTGTATATGTATGCATGATTTGGATTGATTTGGTGCTTTCGCAGCCGTTCTCGCAAGCACTGAACCTCCTTTCAACGGAGTTGCCATAGAGGTGTTAGCTTGCTGATCTGTCACTGACACCATGCAGGGGCTCTATTCATGTTTGCCCTCATGGTTGCAATTTCCACTCTAAACGTCGTATACACGCAAAGTTTTGGCTTCAATCTCGGTGGGGCTTCCTTGATAAGTTTATAATTGTCACATGTTGTTGCGGCGTTTGCTTTCACGGTTTTGGCGCAGAGATTTGCAACGCCTCAGGATGCTCGATACCAGTTCCTGAGCTGCAGAACTTTCAGTGGAAGTTGCTGCACCCTTCCAGTCCGGTTGGAGGCACTGGAACCATGGTAACTATTTTGATGCTCAATCAAACCGCAAGTGATGCACACATCTTGCAGTAGCTAACTGTGAAGATCATGATTCCACAATTGCTGAGGCTCGGTGGGTGCAGAGAGTCAGATGGAGCGCGCCAAATGCAGGTCCTAAACAGTCCTAAATGGTCCTATTGGTCATGCCAACGTTTTTTCGAAATTTCCTTCCGACTTGGTCAGTTGCCTGATGTTGTTGGTTTGCTCCCAGGCAGCCCGACCGCTGAATGGCAGCACGGGCAGTAGCACCGTCAATGTGGTTAGTTGCATCAACATTGGGGACCAGGAGACTCAGGAGATCTGCCACAAATCGCAACAACATCACAAATCCAGATGGAGCATGTCAATTGTTGTGGGGGGTAGGGCCTGTGAGCAACACACATATGCAGGCCTAACTTTGCCGTGCAAACCCAAGCATACCTGAAGGATTGACGAGCTTCATAACATCCGCTGATCTGATAGCTCGACAGTGCAAGCAGCTGCTTTTCTCCCGGCGGACTGAAGCATGGATATGATTTGGCCCCCTTCATGCCATGCTTCTAAAAGCATCCAAAAAGGCACCTTTGATTTCAATCTTGAAAGACATTCCGACATTCCTATACTCTATACATTTCTGTTCATGTATATACTGCATATCCATAGAAACACACACACACACTGGTCTATTTATTATATTATATATATATGATTACAATTTATATCTATATATATATATTACATATATATTATATATATAATAATGATTCAAACAATAACAATAACAATAACAATAGCATATATATGATCCCGTCTTTGTATCTGTATATGTATATGTAAATAAATAAACAAACGCACACACACACATATATATGTATATATATATATATGTATGTATGTATGTATATATATGTATATACGCATTGTAGTCTATATGTTCAGTGGTTCTTGGAGCCAGTTCGTCGCACAATAAATCCTAAGCTGAGCCCAAGGCACAGTGGGCGGCCTGGTGTGCCAAAGAGGCGGCACACCGCGTATCTTACATCGTTTCCTCCGGTTTCTGTTCAAAAATTCGTCAAAAACCCTTTGTAAAACCGCAGAGGGTAGATGTCCAAGTAGCACGCTCGAGCACGCTGGTTCTTGGCTAGCTGTGCCACAAGGAATCCGGACACGGTTTTGATGAAGACAATCAAGTCAGCCATTCTATTCTTCGGACCGGCATTTTGTGATCGTTGCATAGCCCAGGTTCTTAAAAACTTGGTTCGTTGTAAACACGTCGAAGCTGAATCCGGACGGCTTCGCGGCTGCCCCTCAACAGCTGATAAAGATTGATAAAGCGTTTCACCTTTACGACGGGGCCATGGAGCACTCACAAATTACGACGCAGATGGAATGCGCAGAGTTTGGCACTGGCACACGCATACTCCAGACGGATCGTGCCGAGCTCACATGCCTACCTACTTGTGCATGCGCACCTCATGGTACACGGGTACATAATGGTACATATGTAGGTAAATATATGTAAATATGGTAAATGCACACCACTGAGTTCATCATTCAGCGAATGCGCCCATTCACCCACTCATGCATGTTTACACTAGTTTACACCCAAGAATCCATGGACACATGGTCAGACATCCTTGCCACGCATGGAATCATTTTCTACCCTCACCACATCTCATTTCAGTACACTGATCACTGATGACATGCACTGGTTTAATGATTCCACAACATGACTCGACATGGCGCAAGATCATGCATCCAGACAAGATTTTCAAAATTTAGAGGATCAGGCATGCCTGCTGACATACAACCAGACAGACACACATACACACACACACACTCCCGCATGAAAGCGTGAAGATGTGAGCAGATACATTTCATTTACTTTTTTTTTTAAATAACACCAGCGAATAATAACCGGGTAAACATGCCAGTAACTTAACATGCATGCAGCATGTCGCACCATGTATTCAATGGCCCAAGCATCCGATGCAGAGAACAGGCTGCAAGGCCAGCAAATAGATACCGCTGGCTGAAGGCTGTGCCTGCGTGCGTTTGCGATGCCACACAATGGTTTGTTGATGTGTGTTGTTGAGATCAGCAACTCTCTAAGTCAAGGTGTGTCACTCACTGCGAGACTCATCGCTTTCTGTGAACCACGGTGTGGCATGAATTATATTGGTTTTGGAGTTTTTGCCAGGGCATGTGAAGGCGAGACTCAATGCCCCTGGAGAAACTGGCCACGCTTGCTATTTCCATACTCAATGATTAGTCCATATGCATTTTCAAGAGAACCTCGTGGAGTCACAGTGAACTTTTGGTTCTGCCCATGGATCCTGCATTATTTATATCATTACTTTGACAGTTGTCAGTTCCAAGTCGAATCGCTGCAAAGACTCAGTGTTTTTTTGCTCTAGACGTGGTGTTCTTAGCTTAGCCACAAGACATCACAAGACGCCATGGTTCGCCTGGCTTTGCTCTTTGTTAGCATGCTGGCTGTGCATGCCAACCTCCGGGGAACACAGGACTTCCCGGCACCGGACAGTTCGGGAAGCATGTGCGTTGCCCCCCAAGGGTCGTGTGGCCCAGTTCAGGACAGGTGTTGTCAAGGCCCTGGGCTGATGACCTGCCGGCTTCGTCCAACCATGGTGAAAGGCGATGAAGGCACAGCCTACGTTTGTGGCAAAGAGTTTCCCGAGGAAGTGAATCCCAAGTGTGCAGCTGAAGGTGAAGAGTGCGGTACGGACGATCACTGCTGTGAAATTGATCCCACATTGCAAGTGGGCTGTCAAAAGGTCAGCGTTGGGACGAAGGTGAAGCATGTCTGCAAGGCCAAGCTGAACAACGCAGGCGAATCAATGGAAGGACTTTGCGTGGCCGAGGGCAGCAGCTGCAATCCCTTGGAAAACCGTTGCTGCCAAGAAGGTCCTCAAGGTGCCAACCTGGGAGCATAGTTCAAGAGGTCACGAGCTTCGAATAGTATAATAGTTTTGAGAGGCTCATGAAGCCGTAGGACCTACTAGGAATCATAGGCACTGTGCTACTAGTTACTAAGATTTGCCGCGAACAACCAGGAATTTAGCATATACAACTTTAATGATCATAATATGAACATATATGAACCCGGTTGATGATGAACAACTTTCAGGATTTTTCAGGAATTCGTATGGGTCTTGCACCAACCTTTGGTGGCGAGGCGACAAAGCTCTACGAACCTGTCAGTTAAAGTTCTTCGACAAGCCTGGACAACATGGCATGGCCTACTCCTGTGCCAAAGAGCAAGCCTAGCGAGTCTGTCGTGGTGAGCTTGGAATCCTGGTGCTAAAGTCATAGCACAGTGGCAAACATGGAAAAAGTTGGAAGATCCTTAGTGCTTCCATTGTTTTGCATCCAGGATGCCAGATCTTCTCACGTGTTTTTTCCAGAGCCCAGAGTGCAGTGCAATCTTTACAGACTTGCTCCATCTGTGGCCAGATGCCTTTGCATGTTTAATTAGTTATTTGCCGCTAGTTTCCAACACCCGTTTGGTACCCCTGTGATTGGCTTATTTTTGGATCGATCTCCACCCATGCAGCTGCGCCAGATATTTGAGAAGGGCATTGTGTTTCCCCTTTTTACTGGTCCAATCCCCTTTTGTGCGGCAAGAAACGAGTGACATGTGCCTTTGCGCACATATCTTAGTACAGCTCTCACTGTTTGAAACAGCAGTGAGCCAGACTGCGCCCCGTGGAGTGGAAAGCTGTGCTTCTCCAATTTAGTGATTTGGCCTTAGCCAAGACAAGATCGGACGCCATTGAAGCATCCCGTGAATCTCTCGGGCAATGACTTGGGCCACTTCAGGACCACACGACGTCCAATGTTTGAGGGCCTTACTTACGACTTCAAACCCCCAAGCTTGCAGAGCAGGGGTGCTTCGGAAGCATGCGCAGCTGCGCAGCTTGTCAACTGCGAAGCAGAGTCTTCACAGTAAGTGCGCCGCCCAACGCCAAACAGCGCAGTAACAGCATGTTGCGGTGTTGTGCTTGCAGAGCTGGAGGAGAACTGAAAACGCCGTGGGGGAAAAAAGAACTTTAAGCTTTTAGTTGAAATGAGAAAGGTGAGAAATACAGAGGCAAGTCATGTCAAGTTTAGACATGAAGCTGTTGTTCATCAAGGGCTGATCCAGCTCAAGGTGCTTCGACAAGAAGTTGAAGTGTAGATTTCAACTGAAAGCACGTGCTTGCAACTTTCACTCATTTTGACAGTTTCTTTCACAGGTCCTTAGGTATATAAGTAAAGTGAGTGAGGAACAACAACTACAACTACAACTGCAGCTACTACAACTACAACAACAACAACAACTACTACTGCTGCTACTACTTCTACTTCTACTTCTACTACTACTACTACCACTACGACTACGACTACGACTACGACTACGACTACAGCTACAACTACGACAGCAACAACAGCAACAGCAACAGCAAAAACAACAGCAACAACACGAGCAACAGCAACAGCGTTGGCCTTTTGTGACTTACGTTCATCCCATGTCCATGCTGTAAGCAATTTGCAGCCATGGATCAAGCCAGGGCAATGTGCCAACCTAAGAGTGGCACGGTACACTGGTGTGGTGACAAACAACCTTGATCCCTGGCATTCTCCGACAATCGAAACCTATCATCAAAAGACTTGAGGCTTGATGCCCTCATGGGCCCTCAGAGAGATGTGGAAAAGAAAAGGAAGAGGAACCCTGCAGAGGATTGGAAAGATGAATCGGTCTGCCGGAGATCCTTGGCTTCGAAACCCAGAACTCAAAGTCGGTCAAGATGACCTTGAACGCTTGCCATGATAGACTCATACTTTGTTTGGGAAGGTCGAAGGGTCTCAGAGTGGACCCTTTGGTAAGTTCAAAAACGTGGCTCCTGAACGCCTATAGAGTCTATAACAAATCCACTCGTGATTATGAGATATTGCAAGTGCGGAAGTAGACTTTCAGCCCTTTCGGCCCTCTTCCTGGGAAGGTTTCCTTGCGGGCTTCTGCCCCTTTGACAAGGACAGGCAGAGAGATCAGAACAATCAGAACAATCAGAACACACAGACAATACTGTACAATGTAATGCTGATTCAGATTGATTCAGTCAATTCAGTCCATGTGCTATTTTGCTTCCATCCCTGTTCGCCAGGAGGTACTGGGGGGCATGCGCAATATCAAGGCAGCTTAAGTTCTCAAAATTTTTCAAGATTTCTCAAGTAGTTTCAAGTCTCTGTGCGTCCTGTTGCAGTGCTGGTGTCCTGCTGGGCTATGCTGGGCTACCTGGCAGGTGTGCTCCAAGATTCACTCAGAGGCCATCAGAGATTGCTTCGATAAGCACGAGGAAGGAGCCAAAGACAGTCACTGGTTGGCACGTATTTGGTACATATATTATATGATGTATATGATATGTTTTTTTCCAATTATAGGGCATGGGGCCCATTCTTAAAAAGTGGCTGGAAGGGATTCCCCACCTAGCGCTATCTCAGCGCTAGTATTTGACTTGGAATCAATTGTCACAAGGCCGAAACGTGAAAAAAGATGCATGCCGCATTCTAGTGACCCTGCCAGGTATTTGCTGTAAACACTCTTCATGAATTCAGTCACATCCAAGCGCAAGAGAAAAATAACACGCACCAAGATGCAGGTCCTCACCATGAATTGCGAAACAATACAGCTCTCGGGAACCACCGGTTTGACAACCAAAAAAAATACAATCAATCCTTCCGAGTGATTGCAAAGAAAACCTAGCACCATACCGAAATCTAGTACAGTAGTTGGGGCACTTGTTTCATTCCACCCTTTTATTTCTTGATGCGCATGCAACTTGCTGGACATCGGGCCTAAAACCACCTGACTGATGTTTGCATGGAAGTTGGAGTCTTATCATCGCAATCCTCCTGGAAACTGACAATGCACTTGTAACTTCTCCAGTTGAACGATCGGTACTTCACATATTTCATCATATTTCTCTATCCTTCCGCTTGCATACGCCCTGAAAGCAGATCCCCTCCCCATATCTTGAGCCCTCACGGGCTTCTCCCAACTGCCAAGCATTTCATTTTTGATACCAAGCTTCAAAGATATTGTGATGCGAGGGGGCGAATCGTTGCGTTTCCCTAAGCCCAGGTGATCTTCGTGGAGACTTTGAAATGGAAGCCGTCCACGCCTGCGAGGAGCTCATGCAACGGGCAGAGGAACACAGTGCCAAGGAGGTCTTGGGACCTTGGGACTCGGGACGTCACGGGACAGAAAGATCAAGAAACCGAATCAGCGCAGCAAATGGACATGTGACATATATTGATTGACACACACACACACATATATATATATACAATATAATAAGCAACAGTTGCATTCCTACAGCATTTGTCCAAGACAGACTGCTCCATTTTTCTTTTCTATGGTATCTTGTGCTTCCCTTGACAGGTGGAACGTCTTCGCAGTGAGCTGCGAGTCTCAAAGCCCAAATTACCGGCAGAGACCCTTGCAAAACTGGAAGAACTCAGGGCTGAAGCTGCTGACATCGAACGAGACTTGGCCTGAATGGTGTCGTCTAGTGTGTGTTTTTTTTGTTGTTTGGACATTTTCATGACATTTCCATACATTTCCAAAGTTGAGTGGTGTAATGAGTGCCAACGGCTGGGAAGCTGAAGGACGAGCTGGGCTGTTGATGAAAGACGCCAAGCAGGGTGGTGGATACAAGAACCTCTCGCTTACGTGGTCTCGCGCTGCCAAGGACTGCTTCAAGCCACGATCCACCAGCCTTGTGTAACCTGCCAAGTAACCAAATTCTTCTTCACAACACTTCGAGACATGCTCTTCAATCAAAGGAGGATATTCATGGGGCTTCCAGTTTTAGACTTACCTGAGCGGCCACTGCTGGTATAATTCCAAGCTCTGCAGGCATCCAAAGCTCTCTTTTTCTCTTTCGCTCAGCTGCCGAAAGGAGAAACTTGATGAGGCAGAAGAGCTTGAGATCCTCGTCTGGATCCTGCATGTGTGTCCTAAGTATGCAGAACCTTTCAAACCTGAAGCTGCCAGGGAGGCAACTAAGTCTTCAGGAAGTTAGGGTGCAATCAGTTTGTTCGGAGCAAGAACCAAAAAAGCACCTTGTGTCACTAGCAACTCAATACAATAAGTACGCAAAGAAATTACAGATCACCGGGTCCCCCTGGCCTTCACGAAATGTGGCAGACATTTTTCCAGACTGCTTGACTGTCTGCAGTGGTTTTTGCGTTGGCTTGGCTTAGTTGCAGCATGTTGCAGCCATTATATGAATCAAGCCCCTCATAGCCCCCCAAACCTGCCCCACCATCCGCAAGACACGTGATGCTTTGGGCTTTGCCATGGCTGTGCAGATGTGCTTTGCTATGCTTAGCCGTCGGAAAGAAAAACCGCTGGCCTGGTCTTGCTGCTGTTCTAGAAGATCGAGTGGCAGCCAAAGACAATGTCACTGGAGTTGCATGCATGTTTTTGATAATAGCGAAGGCATAATGCTTTAGGACTCTTGTGGCTTAGTTATGTGATGTTATGTGCTGTTATATGCCTATTATGCAAGATCGTTTTTGCTGCCTTGAGTGGGAGGTTATGTTGTGCTGGTCCTCCCAAGTTGTCATGCCGAGGCAAGTGCTATGCTCTCCCAGTTGAGCCTTTCCAGAGCAGCATGCGAGAAGGCAGCCGCTCAGGACCTGAAGACCTTGATGAAGACTTTGTCGGATGCCGACGCTGACAGATCTGACAGTTGCCGTGCGCATTTGACGAACTTCTACTGTGAACTCGTGGAGGACAGGGCCCTGAGCATGGAACCGGGAGTAGCTTTCTTTGAGCGCCCCAAATCGACCGTGTTGGTTTCCTTTTCGGAAAGCCCCGAATAGCAAGTTTCCTCTGCTTTCCGATGCCATCATTCAGATGGTGGTTTTTAGCCCATCTCCAGGAGACGCAGCGCTTCAACATTTGTGCCAAACTGCGGGATGAAAAAGCAAAGCTGGACTACTTCGAGTGTATCACCCAGCCAACTGCGGAGACAACACGGAAGCCTTTTGCATCACTGTGTAAAGCAGAGTCAGAGTTGGACTCAGCAGCAAGGACTTGGTTTTGAGCTCTGAGAGGTCTTGTAAGGTTTTGTAGGGAGCCTTCTGTAGTAGCAACTTGTTTTTTTGGTTAAATATACACATAGCTACACAAACCAAATCCAAAAATATCCTACTGCCTGATGTGACGACTGCAGCCTCGTGATGCCGCTATCCCCTTAACAGAAGCTTTGAGCACAGATTTGGCACACATGACATTGCCCACCACCTCCCTCGAGATATGTCTGCTCAGAAGGACGAGAGGCTCAAGCAAGAAGGGGGTGGCTCTTCAATTGCGCTCGCCAACTGTGCACCTGGCCTTCTTCCTACTAGCTCATCGCTCCAGTCGAAATGTCCAACGGTTGTTGCAACAAATCTATTCTCCACGGCATGTATACCTGGTCCATGTGGACCTGAAGTCGTCACAGGTTCTGATGCGGCTTCAAAATCTTTTGGTTGTTTGTTAAGAATGTTAAGATTCGGATGCCTCTCCACATTGGGATTTACTAGACTGCTGGGGAAGATGAAGAAATGAAGAAAGACGAAACAAAGTAGAGTGCCTTCGCCATTCCCACCCTTGCGAAGGTGAAAACCGAGATTGAGGAATCTTGCCTTTCGCTGGGGATGGAGGTTGAGACATTTGCTGAAATCAATGTCACCCAGGGAGGCAACAGCTTATTGCGCGTGAGCATGCTGGGACTCCAGCGCTTGCTGAAAAAGCCCAGATGGAAATACCTCGTAAAACTCAGTGAGTTTGATTATCCTGTGGCCTCCCTGGGAGTGTTGGAACAACACCTTTGGGCAGCACAAGATCTGAATTTTGTCGGCTTCGATTCGTGCTACAAAGCGACCTGTTCACGACATTTAGGAACTTCATGTGGAGGACAAAAATGAAGCGGCTCAACACAAATAGTACATGGTAGCACGGCAAATTTCAAAGTGTAGACATGGAGACGAGATGTTTTGTTATGTTGGTTGGTGTGTTGACGCTTGTCAAGTTGCATTCGCTTCCAAAGTCATGCTCATTGAATCCCTGAATGAGGACGTGCCTACAGCTTTATATCCAGCTTAAAAATGTACAAGCCCCTGTCCTATGGCATGAAGTTTGCCCGCGGCAGCGAGTGGTTTGCCCTCACACGGGACTTCGGAAGTTATTTGACAGCAGAATTAAAGGTGCAACACTCAGCCATGCATGAGGTTTGGACAGATGCCCTGCTTCTCTACCAGCCTGATGAGACTTTCTTTCACACAGCTTTGCTGAATTCTCCCTTTTGCGGACGACACGCAAATAGGCACTTGCATTATATTTCAGCCATCGTGCCAGAAAAGATTCAGCATGGCGGTCAAGATGAGATTGGCACTCGCAGCCCTGCCTACTTGACGCAGTTGGACTTCAAAGAGATTCTTCTTGAGAAGGCGAAGCGGCCAGTCTTCTTTGCGAGAAAGCTGGATGATGCCACGCATGAAGCAACCATCAAACTCTGTCAGCAACTCGATGCCCAAAAAGGCCTGGCCTCAGAACCGGAGCGACATCATTCATGGCCTGGTTTGCTGGATTGGCTGCAAGAGCATTTGGCCAAGTGGCTAGACCTGAAGAAACTGCCTGCGAATGAGTCAAACGAGTCTTGTAGTTTGGATGAGAATGCAGACAGAGCTGGGGCATGCGGCTTAAGATTGAATAGATTGAGCATCTTGAGCCGTACGCCACCACTACCTCCTAGCAGCATGGAAGGAAAAGCGCAGCGAACAGATCTGCGTTTTACGCCCGAGACTTGGCTCATAAAGCAGGCCGGGCAGAGCACGAAGTACCGCTTGGTGGAACGCTTTGCGGTGCCCCCAGCCCGGACTGCACGGGCATTCGGCATGGCTCTATTGGTTGTAAGACTTGGGACTGGATGGTCTGAAGAAGCTGAGCGATTCACTGAGCATGTGAGCATAGTTCGAAGTGGTCGAAGTGGGAAGTCTTTGAGTTTAGCAACGTACTGGGCGCCTCATGTGACTGATGTTGGAGATTTGCCCCAGGTGCTGGCTGACTGGGGAAAGTGCGTTGTGAAACAGCAGATGTACGATGTCCATGTTTGGGGCTCACCACTGATTCTTCCATCTTGTGAAAGACTCTCCCCGGGAATTCAGAGGGTAAGTTTAAAGCTACAGGGTGGTGACAAGACCGTGGTGTTGGCCTGGCGTGACTTCCTCATGTTTGACCGTATGGAGGAGGTTCGTCTGGATCAGATGAGACGTTTCTTTGAACTGCAGACGTCTTGAGTCATCTTGAGTCAGCGGAGTCAGCACAAGCGCAGCGGTGCCAGCAACAAAAGTGGAGCGATTGCCTGGATTTGTCGCCCTGTCAGCGGCGCATGTCAGACACGAATCGCTTTTTGAATTGCTGAGGAAATCTGAGCAGAAGAGGATTGCAGAGAGTATCCAGCCGAAATCCTGTGACATATGTGGAAGACTCAGTTCAGCACAGCATCACACACACACACCTTTCAATGGCAACATTCTGTACCAATCCATCATCTTTGCCCTTTTGAGCACAAGTGCTTTCGAACCTTTTTGATAATGTTTGAACCAGTTACCGCGCCACGCTATTTGCTGGCCAAAAAATCATTACAAGTTTCACTATAAGTTTCACTCGTGCGCGGCAGGTGGTACTGTCACACTGGACGAGGCCAAGTTCCAGGCCCATTTCCACTTTGACGTGCACGAAGGCTGTGCAGGGGAACAGGATGCTAAGGGACGCTGGGGGATACCGAGGGATGGATGGATCTCGCTTTTGGAAGGTGTTTTTTGGTTCCAAAATCATCAGATTCCAAGTTGCCTGCAGGCTTGTTGGTGCTTCCAAGAACCCGTATAACCTACGAACGACATCAAGAGTTGTCCTTAACTTTGCTGCACATCTTGTGGCGTTTTTCCACCTTCGAATTCGAAATGTCTGCATGGCAGCATGACACCTGGTCCAGGCTACAAGCAGGTGTTGCTTGGCAGCATTGATCAATGCGCTTCATGGCAGTATGCTGAGTTTTTAAGCTGATATACCACCGAAGCCAATGATGCATGCGATGTTGGCCCGATGGCCACAGCATTTGGCACAACACGCTGTCCAGGCGAGAGCGCCATGCTCAACTGCAGGCTCGCCAGAGAGAGCGACCCAAGGACAGTGAACAACCACACTTATTCAGATTAACAAGCTATTGACATCTATTGAAATCTTTCGAAATCGATGCAGGAAAGCGGCAGAAGTCAAAGTCACCAGGCCAGTCAAGCCAGAAGTCGATCAGCTGCCCGGCAAAGACAGAGTTTCTGGAGTGGTGTGGCACGGCATGGTTCCTTTGATTTGCCGCACTTCAGTTGTTTCGCATGATCTCTGATGTCAAAGGCTTGTGCTGTGGAGCGCTTCCCTATAAGGCTTATGGCGATCGACATCAAGAGAGAAGTCGAAGCTGGAGCCGACAGGCAGAGAACGTGATTCCAGTGCATCGGTTTGGATGGAAGGTCTAGACAAGATTTTGAGCCTCGCGACTCGCGCCGTCTCATGCCCCAAGATGATTTATGAATGATATAAATGCCCGCTACCATCCCGCTGCTTTCCCGGTATTCCTACGGAGGCCGGCAATCAGAGAAGGCATGAAAGGGATGCCAGTCGAGGTTGGGGCATGTTGGGGCAGAACTGACGTTGCCACTGGCACCATACTAGCTGTCTTTGCGATCTTGTGTTTTGAACACGTTTGAACCTTCATTGAACCTTTAACTTCGGCAAAAACATGCCTAGACATCTTCCAATCTTTTGATGCTCTGTGCCAATATGTCAGGGGGAGAAAGAAGTCGAACGGTCTCTTTGGCGTGCACAGTTCTTCTGCATTCAGATCATTCAGGGGTGGGTGATAGGTTATGGAATGTTATGGATCTCGTTGGCTCCCGGCCCACAGAGCAGCCGAAGTTTTTGTGAATTGACCGACCCAGCTTAAATAGTGGTGACTACAATTTTTAGTTGCATGCTTGCCCCAGCATTTGCATTTCAATCATGGTTCCAAACAGACAGGGGCTCAGAAGTGGCAACAAGCACAGCAAAGGGTTGTGTCGGCTGCTGCTTTTGAGCTATGGTTTTGGATCAGTTCGCTTTAATTACGTGCGTTTGGATTGCCTCTCTAACCCTGTACAGTAAGAGTTGTCAGAGTTCTGACACTGCGTTGGCTATGTTGTTGGGGCCATTTTGCGATTGCAAGCCCTCATCACTACATGATCAACGATATCAAGGCAGCCAACAACACATTCGCGATTATTTTCTCAGTTGCTGCTTCAACACCTAGGGAATCTACAGAGCCCTTCCCTATAAGGCTTATGGCGATCGACATCAAGAGAGAAGTCGAAGCTGGAGCCGACAGGCAGAGAACGTGATTCCAGTGCATCGGTTTGGATGGAAGGTCTAGACAAGATTTTGAGCCTCGCGACTCGCGCCGTCTCATGCCCGAAGATGATTTATGAATGATATAAATGCCCGCTACCATCCCGCTGCTTTCCCGGTATTCCCACGGAGGCCGGCAATCAGAGAAGGCATGAAAGGGATGCCAGTCGAGGTTGGGGCATGTTGGGGCAGAACTGACGTTGCCACTGGCACCATACTAGCTGTCTTTGCGATCTTGTGTTTTGAACACGTTTGAACCTTCATTGAACCTTTAACTTCGGCAAAAACATGCCTAGACATCTTCCAATCTTTTGATGCTCTGTGCCAATATGTCAGGGGGAGAAAGAAGTCGAACGGTCTCTTTGGCGTGCACAGTTCTTCTGCATTCAGATCATTCAGGGGTGGGTGATAGGTTATGGAATGTTATGGATCTCGTTGGCTCCCGGCCCACAGAGCAGCCGAAGTTTTTGTGAATTGACCGACCCAGCTTAAATAGTGGTGACTACAATTTTTAGTAGCGTTTGCATTTCAATCATGGTTCCAAACAGACAGGGGCTCAGAAGTGGCAAACAAGCACAGCAAAGGGTTGTGTCGGCTGCTGCTTTTGAGCTATGGTTTGGATAAGTTCGCTTTAATTACGTGCGTTTGGATTGCCTCTCTAACCCTGTACAGTAAGAGTTGTGAGAGTTCTGACGCTGCGTTGGCTATGTTGTTGGGGCCATTTTGCGATTGCAAGCCCTCATCACTACATGATCAACGATATCAAGGCAGCCAACAGCACATTCGCGATTATTTTCTCAGTTGCTGCTTCAACACCTAGGGAATCTACAGAGCCCTTCCCTATAAGGCTTATGGCGATCGACATCAAGAGAGAAGTCGAAGCTGGAGCCGACAGGCAGAGAACGTGATTCCAGTGCATCGGTTTGGATGGAAGGTCTAGACAAGATTTTGAGCCTCGCGACTCGCGCCGTCTCATGCCCGAAGATGATTTATGAATGATATAAATGCCCGCTACCATCCCGCTGCTTTCCCGGTATTCCCACGGAGGCCGGCAATCAGAGAAGGCATGAAAGGGATGCCAGTCGAGGTTGGGGCATGTTGGGGCATGTTGGGGCAGAACTGACCGCTGGCATTGTATCAGGAGTTGTTGCGGTGTTTCTTTTTAGGGCTTGCTGGTGTTTTTTCTCCATGTCAGATCTGATCCGGGATTACTGTCGGTCATGTGGGCAGTTTCATGTCAGAGCCAATGACATCGGAAGCTTTAAATGCACTCTTTTCCCTGGCAGGGAGAGACCGAAGTAGAATAGCAACTTGGTACGCACGGATATTCAGGCATCCACCACACCAGCGCGTCAGCTCACGTGATGGGCATGCAGACTTTTCAAGATTTTTCAGGTCATACGAGAGCCCCTTCCTGAGGCTTACAGCGATCGACGCCGGGATAGTCGAAGCTGGAGTCGTCAGGTAGCTGAGCTCAGCAGAGAGTTGGAGAGCCTTGTTCGTACAGACTTGGATATACAGGCCCTCAATCAAAGAAGAAACGGGAGAGATGATAGCCGAGGCTTGGGCAGTTTGTGGAATCTCATCTTGTCATTTAAACATCTGGGCATTGGCGTGGTAAATCAAACGCTTTTGATGAACCATGTTTGCTGGCAGGGAGAGACCGAGGTAGAATGGTGACCTAGCAGCACTGCCGTTGCCACCGTTTGTAGCTTTTGGATGCTCTTTGTATATCTTTGTATAAGAAACAAATGTGGCAATTGGCAATTGATGTGGTCGGCTTTAGGATTACAATGATCGAAGACCTCGGAACAGAGCCTTTATTGCACTCATGTAGGGGGTGGCAACAAGAGCTGCTCTGGAGACGCATTTGTCATATTGGTCACTGTTTCTATCCAAGCTTCTCGACACGTCACTTCAGACCACCCTTGAGGAAAAGATGCCGATGATGGCGGCCGCCTCATCCTGGGATTCAAGCTGCAACTTTCGAGCCCGCTGTGCCCTAGAAGCGCTCCTCTTTCTGCAGCCTTCTGGCCCTCAATTAGTATTGTATGTATTGCATCGTATTGCTGTACTTAATCTGAACTGAATCCGGTGGTCCTCTCAGAAGCCACAGGACAGAGCAAGCAAACCGATGTGTGGGAGATACTAGAATTATGTGTGAAGATATGTCAGAATCATAATAATTTTGCAGCAGGTAGAACTGGACTGAGTGGCAACTTCATGGACCTTCCGCTTGGCAGCACGACATCATACGACCATTTCAACATATTTCAACATAAAAATGAATACTTTGAAGCCAGAAGCAGGCTGCTCACCGCATGCCATGAAGACCGTGCGGCAAACAGCCGGAAAGGGAAGGTGGCAGAAGGCAAGTGCAAGCTCCGATCACCAGACTCGCCAGACCTGCCAGACCCAGGACTTGGTAGGCGATCAGAATGGAGATAGCGGAGAAGCAACTCACTCGCCCAAACTTCGCCATGATTTCCCTATGTTTGACGATGATGTGCTTCGCAAACAACTACAAGAATCTGCCTATCACCTGGGCAAAGCGAAGCAATCTTTGTCAAAGCTCGAGACTACAAAAGGTGTCAAGCTAGTGCCTGCTGACATTCCGGTTCAGCAAGCACCAGTGCCAAGGGGGGAACCAGCGAGGTTGATCGCAAATGTCATTGCCAGAACAGACCATCCAAATATGCCCCTGTACTGCTTTATTGCGATGATCACAAGGTCTACGCAATCAGAGAAGTACTGCCCTGGAAGCATCGTAAGACCGATCCCTGTGGACCGGTTTCGACTCTTGGGGGATGAGAAAGGGCATTTTTGGCTGAAAAAGAGAAGGGTTCCTGACATAGGTGACATTGTCGAAATTCGTTTTTTTGAGGAGGACACCAGTGAGTACATCAGCAGTGCACATGGAAACTCTCCACACCAAAATGAAGACCTTTTGTGCACAACGTTGACGCTACGTCATCGATGTGATCTCGAAAAGAATGACGCTTGGCAAAACTGAGTATTCTTTACTGAGCGGCGTGCTTTACCAACAAGTTGTATTTTGTCCTGTTAAAGAGTCGATGTGAATGAAGTGCATTTGCTGTATTCTTTCATGTTTTTTTTATCCCATTTTAATCTTGCCATTTCGCACAAAGCTGCAGGATTTCCTCACTTCGACTCTGATGTCAATGGCCGTCGATGACATACAGAAGAAGTGGCCCTGGAAGCGGGCCCTTGGGAAGTTTGAGTCCGTCACACCAGGAAAGAAGATCTGGTTTGTTCATCCAAACCAGCGTCTCAAGTCCGTGATCATTTTGAGATTGAAGCGTCCGAGCGAGGTGAGCTTCAAATATCGCGGGGCTTCAAATGACCGGATTAGTGTGGATTTCCCAGCGGCATACAAGAGGATTCTCAGAGACATTCCTGTAACTGCTGCTGGTTTCAATGCCACACCTCCTGAGTTGAACAGCTGGTTCTCAGAGCAATGTGACCGTGCTGAGCAACTCTTCGTGCTTGGCCTGGCTCGGGTTGAATGTCAGTGCCCTCTGGGAGTCAATCGCTTGGAGGAATTGCCGGATCGGTTGAGGCGTCATGTGGATGTTGAGATGCTTCCAAAGTACTGCCAGATCTTGTTGATCGGAGTCCTACCATGCCCCAAGGGCAGGCAGGACCATGTTCCATTCAAGCATGCAACGAGGACTGTTGCAAAGCTTCCAGTGCAAGCACGCAAAGACACAGGAAAGACAAACCCCTCAACCAGAGACAGGGCACGTGGGATCGCCAGTGGCAGCTTTGAGCCGGGATTTGTGCGAACCACTGGGCCTCCTCCGTTGGCACCTTTAGAAAGTAGGCTGCGAAGGGGGAAGCATGGTCCCCGGCACACCGCCGCCGGGAATGAGCCTTGAACCTCTGAACCGTTATGCGAGTATGAAAACTGGTCAACTGCGCTTGCAATGCTACACTGCTACACATTTATGAACAAACTTCCAGCAAACCATCGCCCAACACGTTGCAAGAACAGCTGGGTGAATACAAAGCATGTTTTTCTTCTTTATTTCCTTGAGTTTTACCTGTGGCAGCTGTGATCAGACATGAAACAACCGATTCATGATGCCACAATATGATGTTTGAGGAAGAGGCCGTTACAATGGCACCTGCCTCAGTTACAAGGATTGAACAACACGGCAGTAACAGCAAGACTAGAGGGAAGTAGAAAGGACTCAGGTAAAAGAGCGACCCACCAGTGCATTCAAGTCATGGAACATTTTGGAGCCAGACCAGATGTCCCAATCTGTGTAGTGCCAAGTTGAAAACGCCAAATCGCCACCAAGGTGACTGGGGCAGGCGACGCTGATCTCCTGCCCATGCCCAGATCAACACCATTCACATCTCCCTTTGATTTGCAGCAACTTTGTTGAGCATTTGGCACTGAGTGGCATTCCGTTATGGGCTTATGGGGAGGAGTGAGTGTCCTGCCTGAATGCCTGCTGGCCCAGCAACGGTCAGCAACGTTGCTACCAGAGAAGATGCGAATGAAAGGAAAAGGGCCGCTAAATTAGTTGCCATTCCAATCCATTTGGCAATATTTTGCCAAATTGATTGCTTTGGGGTAATGCTCACTTCCACATTGTTTTTGATTGATACCTGTGTCGCTGTGCCAGTTGTGCCACGGAATGCTCTTTGGCCCTTCAGCTTCCACATGAAGATGGGTGATGGGTGTAAGGAAACGTTTCCAGTTTCCCAAGGAAATATATTACATTGCCAGCAATTGCCATCCGTAGCCTCCGCCAGTCTGGGGAACCAGTGCTGGCACCAGTCAACCGGCGCGATGACTTGACGCATCTTGCCGTGTTGCCATGGACTCCACACGCGCCATCATCGCGCTTTGGCGTCTTTGTGTCCCAGCTGGCCTCGGCTCTCAGGCGAAACAATGAAACTTGTCATGGCTGCACCATCTCAAAATTGACGCTTTGGACGCCTTTGGACTCTTGGTGCTCCACCGGTTATCCTACCTCCCAGCCCAAAAAGCAGCAATTTATCATGATTCAATCCAAACAGGGCCAACTTGCGAAATGCTCCGCCGTGGCTGGCACCTTCGATTTCATTTCGATTGGACTCATACACATGGCAGCTCACAGTCCTTCTACACAGTGCCCAAAGCTGCTGACAGGTGGGTGGTGACTCCCGAGATGGAGCCATTCCGGTGGATGTTTTGAAGGCTGGGCACTGCACAGGCGGAAAAAGGTCAGCTGATGTGCTCCTTAGATCTCTTTACTATACCTTGGCAGGTAGTCCTGGAGCGAGAGTTGGAGGGCCACTTGGGGGACTTTGGGCAGAACTCGGCTGATGAGATTTTGTTACCCGTCAAATTTGGAGTTTTTTTTGACTGTACAGCTCTTTCAGAAGGTATGTGCTTTGGTGTGGCTCATGTGCACTCAGGGGTTCAGCATTTTACTTTGAGGCAAACCACCATGCAGCCAGATGCTGATGGCGTTGTTGGCTTCTTACAGTTCTGGAAAGGCATGGAGGACCCCAATCAGAAAGCACAATTGTAGCACAGGTATGTTGAAGGTGGACATGACATGGATCTTGTTGTGTATTTCTTATCCCAAGTATGTTGCAAGCGGTGAGGAAATTCTTCGTGCTCGAGGGACCATGCGAACATACGCCCTAACACCAGCCCAGAAGGAAGCAATCACTGGTTTTCGCTGCTTGGCCTGCCATGGTTCAACTGCCTTCCCAGCCTTTCAACGCTCACTGTGGTTGGACCAATCTGATGCATCCAGCGAGGCTTCTTGCGCACCTGCTTGCTTGACATGGAGAAACGGCAGATCTCGCAGGACCGCTCCTCCTTCAGCGTCGGTGAACTCAGGCTGGATGAAGTTCATGAAGCATATTGAGGCGTCATGGTTGATGAATCTTGGCAAAACAATGGAAAGCAATGCAAAACATATGAAAGCATCCAGTCGTTGTCTGCACTGGGCTCTTCTGTTTGAAGTCAGTGTAGGCATGTGCACACCACATACCAACGCCGACGATGGGATCTTGGGAGGTACTTCATGGACCGCACCATTGAGATGACGGGAGCCGAAGGTCAAGACTTTTGGCGCCAGACCCTCAGTATCCCTCAGTGTAATCAATGCAGCATTGTGATGTCTGAGTTCCATCAGGAGCGCAAGCGAGCGCAGTGTATGTTCCAATCGGGCAGGTTTTGCACGGTCTTGCCAAGGTCAGCGAGCTAAGCAGCTTCCTGAGGATCCAGAGATGCTCGTCACTGGGGAGGAGGTAGCCTCCGCACTGTGGGGGGGCTCAGTGTAGCTCAGCTCGACCTGGTAGGATCGAGTGGGCCCAGTGGGCTTCTGGACTTGCCCACGAATAGAAGAGCTGGGCAGCACACTAAGGTTGACGTGGTTGGAGGACCTGGTAGGTGAAGGTGAGTTTTCTGCTTTCTGCAGCTTGTCGATGCAATGCAAATGCATTGTGTCTTGGGAGGCCCTGGTGAGGATGAGGAAGAGGAGGAGGCCAGCTGAGGGAGTTCAGCGAGCTACATCCCCATCGTATCAGTTCAACAATCAACTCAGCCCCACAGCGATTTCAACACGCCCATAGATTTGTTTACGGTAACGACATTTCAATATGTGGAGGGCGGGCGAGACCGCGACGCCCCGGAGGTATAGTATGAAACACCAGTTCCATCCGTAAATGTAAATGTATGTGTCTCCGTATGTTGAAATGGCCGGGCAGGCCAAGGAAAACCTTCCCGGAGGTAGTCTAAAACACCAGTTCGTACATTAAAGAATCCGTATATATAATTGAAATAAATGTAGTTATCGTACCCTATGTTAGGTGCCATGTGGTCGATACTTTCAAAGGTTTGTGCCGATGAGCTTGCTCAAAGGACTCTGCCGCTGAAGATGATGAGGCTTGGGACGTGAGTGCCATGTAGGCTTTAAGTCTTTGCTATAACGCGAGCTTTTTTCGCTTGAGTTTACCCAAAGCTGAACTTCCGCCCGAACCCTCTCGAAATAAGTCTTGTGGCCGGCCAGGAGGAGCCAGAGAGAGAGGCCAGCCTTTGAGTCACCGGAGTCAGTGGCTCTTGCTACCATTTGCTACCTAGCTAGCTGCTGTACCTCTTGTCCATTCCGTCAAGCACGTGCCTGATGTAAGCCTGAAGGCTTCCGCAATGCCCACACCCATGAAGGCTGGGAGAGGATGTTCAACAGCAGTGTTGCATCGTTTTGCATTTGGATATAACACATCACAGCCACATTCCCACAAATACCCCTATGACATCCTGTGGCCCTGCAAGAGGCAAGTCCAGTCATTTCCTACCCGCCCGACTCTGAACACTGTGCTTGCTTCATCAAGCTTCTATTGAGCCGTCGAGCGACATGCTCGATCACCTTCTGACAGTTGCTGTGCGGCATTGCTTAATACTTAATAATCTTGTTTTCTACATTTAACCGCTTGTTCTATCATTATAGCTGTTTGGCTTCAATTCGACTCAACGAGATTTCAAAACCCGATTGAAAAAACAGCCTCTGCCGTAGTCGCAGTTACTCGTCAGTTAATGCCCATCCAACTTCCTCCAAGAGCGACCTTTGTCCTCACTGGTAAGTGACACGTTCTTTCTAGAAGCAAGAGCAAGCAACAAAACGAATTAGATTCAAGCAAATTGAATCTCCATTAGAATTCCTCAAGAAAATGCTGAGATGCCAGCCCCGTTGGTTTTGCCAAATGAATCCAAATGACAGATCCAGAGCACAACTGCCGCAAGTTGCAAAAGCTGTATCTCCATGCGTGCCTGGCCATGTTTGATGGAAGTATCTCCGAGACAAAGGCGAGGAAAGTTGCAGAAACTTGTCCAAGAGCTGAACAAAATCAGTAGCCGATCTTAAAGATGACCAAACATCTATCGAACTTTAGAATGTGGTTTCTGCCAAACATGATTGTTGTGATGTATATACAATCAAAGTGATGATTTGGAGCGGGTCGACCTGTTTGATATATGTTGATCGACCATCATGACCTCACTGTGACATGTTGTGACTCTGGATCCGGCCTGGTGTGACTGGCCGTGGATCGCAGGTGAGCCTGGCAGGCGCTCGTGGCCGCCGCAGCGAGACTCGTGCAGAGTTTCTGCGGCGCCAGGCCCGTGAGCGTGAAGACCGCGAGCGCAGCTGGGTTCACGAAAACAATGGGTAGCCATGGGTAGCCAAGAGATTTTGTGAATCAACGTGAGATTATTTGTAAACCACTTTCTCATCAACTACCCTGACACTGGACATGAGCCAATGGCATGACTTGCAGAGAAAGTATCACAGATGCAGATGCTCAATGACAATTTTGTTTTTGGTGATTGCGCAGGCAGCCAAGACCTAGAAACGCTTTAAAACTTTGGGTTCAAAGGGGCAGTGATGTGATCTCAGAGATTCTATCCTTGGCTATCAGCACATTGAGGAAAGCGTGTGCGGGACATTTCGGCCACCAAGATCCAGGCAGTTTGTTTTGGCATCAGAATCGCGGCACGGGGTTATGCTTGATTGATCTCTTTCATTTTTTTTCAAAGGATCTTCCTTCACCATCCTTCATCCATCAATGGAACATATCAACGTATATCAACTGACTGGTCCCAGCGGCCAATGTCTTTCGTTCGAGGCAAGTTGGCGTCGCTTCCGGTGCCGTCGTGATGCTCGAAATTCACAGCGAGAGCTGTTCGACAAGCGCTTGGCGGACATTCAGAAGGCACTTGGAGCTGGAAACTTGCAGGTCAAACAGTATATTCTGAATATTTTCAAATATTATATAATTATGATATACTATGGTTTATGTAGCGGGCCCCACCTATTTACCACAATATCATGGACAGTAATTGTGTATTATTTCTTGCAGGCCACCACGGCCACATCTTCAACAGCGAGATGTTTCTCTTTCACGACAGTTCAATCCATGCATGGTGGCAGACGTGCAGGTAGAAGGTCTATTGCCCAACGAGCAGAGAGCGGCGCTTGTTTTCAATGCTTTGCAGAAGTTCTTGTTTCTCGGTTGCGCCTTCACTAGCCTTTGCAATCTACAGCATTTGTGGCACCCATCGTGGATCCAATCCAAGGTTGCGACCTTTCATCTTCTTCTTTTCTGGCTCCGAGGAGCTTTGGCTGTTAACTGCAAGGTTCTCCAAACAATGTCGAGAAAAACTATGAAAGTACCCAAGCGGTTCCAAGTTCCAACAATTCCCAGACCCACTGAGCCACTGAGCCCACCAGTTGTTGCGATTGGGGTTGTGACATGTTGTGACAGTTGTCACTTCAAGGATGCGGGGAGGCTGGATTCCTTGCTGCGATTGGTGCGCAGCTCGGGGCAGCAACCGGCGCGGTGCAACATTTTTGCCACGCTGTTGGCCGATGAGGAGAAGCATGTCATTATCATTCATTATCTCCATTTATTACATACAGTATGGAGAAATATGGAGAAATATGGAGAAGTGGAGAGCAGAAGTTCCCAGATATCGACATTTGAAATCAAGATCCATGTCGAAGATGTAGAGGTCTGGCTCTAGGATGGCACGCATAGATTAGGAAGCATGAGGAAGCAACCATCAAGTTTCATGCATTTCTGTTTGAGTCTGTTGGTGCATTTTTTTTTACACCAAATCATGTCGTAACGGGATGTTTGCACCAGTTTCATAATGTTTCATTTTCAGACACAGAGGGCGACAAACCTGACTTGGAGTGTGACCTTGTCCGAATCTTGTCCGGCAAGGAGCTGCAGCGGCAGAGAACCTCAGCACATAGCAACCTGGATCAACCTGGTTGCCGAGATAGATTTTTGTGATATGCTGCGATTTTGTCGAACCCGTGGACCCGTGGTCTCAACTGCCGCGCAGACCAAGGCCGTGGTTTGCTGCAAGCACTTCTACAGTTGGGTCTCATGCGGGAGGCCATTGGTTTGTTGTTCCTTGGCAGGGTCTGCAGCTGGGACTCCATGACCTAGGTTTGTTGAAGGTGATTT